CAAACATGGTGTCTTGTATTTTATAGATGCTATGTTTAGTTGGTGATAAAAATAAGTCACAAGTAACATGTAAATTAAACAAAAATTGAAAAAAAAATTTTTTTAATACGAGTTCACATGAAATTTTCGTTAAACATATTTTGATATAGCGTTACAGTATTATATGGCTTATTGGAAAATACATAAAATTATTATTTCGAACAAAAACTGGATGAAATAGAATAGGTTATTTCAAGGTAACAAAAATAATATTCAATATTAACTTACAATTAGAACATAGTTCCATAGGCAACGAGCTTTCATTACCCTAAAAAGAAAAAAAAAAACAAAACAGATATAAATATTTTGTTAAAAAAGCCCTGTTTTGCTCATAGCATAAATTTTTTGAAGATGATAACCACATCAAGTAATGTTTTTCTTAGGAAACATAAATATGAAAAATATTACACGTATTGTAATAAATCGTTCTATTTTTTATATGAGTATGATAAATCAAAATATATTGTGTTCAATTACCATTGTAAACTTGTGTTAGTAGATTTTTGTCAAAAAGTTACCACAAAACGTCAAAATTGATCAGCAGATACTGTTTTACGATTGACGACCAGTGAAAAGTATAAATGATAGAAAGGAAACTTTAACGCAACGTATAATCTAAGTACACGAATATGCATATCAATATTCCAAGTAGATAGTCCAAATTATATTTTAAATCAAATAGTGTTCCTTTATGCTACGCCTATCAAAAAACATAAAACTTAAGATTAATATTTTTTTAATTGAAATTAATTTACAAAATGCTACGCAATCGAAATAAAAATTTTCGTGATTTACACCCAATAGATGTCACTTTAAGTTTCACTTAAAAGTTTGAATCGAATATGTCAGTTGGAAGGAGAATTACAATGTGTTAGATACGTTTTTTTATGAATATACGGACGATTTCTTACCTTATCAAGAAGCGTTAATTATACAACTTAAATAGTTGCAATTAATAAATATTTTAAGGTATGTAAAGTATAAAATTTAAAAACTTTATTTCCCTTTTTTCTGAAAATGATGTAGAGATGATTTGATAAATAAATTTATGTGAAATAATAGATGTTTAATAAAAGTTTGTTAAGAAATGTTCCAAAATTGTTTAGACTTGCTATTATGGCTCACATAGAAGGATTTAGACTACCTTCCAATGTTCCTTCTGAATGTAAGGAAGTTGTTCTTAATACTTTATATAAAATGGAAGAACATGTTATAGGAAGAGGTCCAAGGTATGTAGAACAGCAAATGTATTTCATATTCATGATTTTGTTATTAAAAACAAAATCGTAATTTTATAGATATCAATGGAGTTTAAATGACTTCGAGATTGGTGCACCTCTAGGCAGAGGTAAATTTGGCCGTGTGTATCTAGCTAGAGAAAAGACCACCGAATATATGGTTGCGCTAAAAACTTTGTATAAAGTGGAATTAATGAAAGGACGTGTAGAAAAACAAGTAATGCGTGAAATTGAAATTCAAACACATTTAAGGTAAATTTATTAACATGCAAGTCATTTATTTATTTATTTTTTATTTAAACATATTGTTATATACCATTTTTAGGCATCCCCATATACTTCAAATGTTAACATATTTTCATGACCCTAAACGTATATACCTTGTATTAGAGTTTGCAGCTAGAGGAGAATTATATAAAGAATTAATACGTCAACCCAATAAAAGATTTAATGAACACTTGTATGTATTTTTGGAGTAACTTATAATTTATTAATAAGTAATTTATTTTTAACAAGATTCTGTATTTATTTAGGTCTGCTAAGTACACTTATCAAGTAGCAGATGCTTTGGAATATTGTCATAGGAATAATGTAATTCATAGAGATATAAAGCCAGAAAATTTATTACTTACATATGAGGGTAATGTAAAATTAGCAGATTTTGGTTGGTCTGTGCATGCACCATCATCCAAGTAAGTATATTTAAAAAGAATTAAATATTAAAAAAACTAAATTAATAATGGAGAAAATTCTAATAACAATATTAATAATTATAGAAGAAATACATTATGTGGAACATTAGATTATTTACCCCCAGAAATGGTAACAGGACAAACTTATGACATATATGTAGATCATTGGTGTTTGGGTATTCTTTGTTATGAATTTCTAGTGGGTAGTCCACCTTTTCTTAGTGAAACACAACAAGAAACTTATATAAAAATAAAGTCATTAAATATACAATGGCCAGAACAAATTACACCTGGAGCGAAAGATCTTATATCAAAGGTAATTAATGTTTATTTGTACTTTTATCTTTTTATTTACGTAAATTATCATCTTTATATTAATTACAGTTAATTAAACGGAAAAGCTCGGAAAGAATTTCTATGGCAGCTGTAAAGAGACATTTTTGGATTTTAAAGTACAAGGACGCCCACTGACGTGAAATATATTCAAAAGACATGAAATATATTTTTTATTATATAAAGCAACCATTATTAAAACAATTACATTTTTACATGTGTATAAAAAAATATTTTAAATATTGTAATAATTATTATGGCCAATTTAAATTAATACCTGTGACATCCAACGCGACTATGTCGACTTCAGCATTAAGAATGTCGCACAAACTCGGTTTAGTTCGTCCAAAATCTCCGTGCACAAATTCCTTTACATATGTTCCAGCTTGTGTTTTAATATCTAACACAAAAAATGCACTAGCATCCTTATTTGTAATATTGAATTTTTTCAATTCTTGAGGTTTCGCCCAACGAGCTCTAATTTCATATATTAAACGTTCTCTAGGGCTCAAAGGTCGTCTGTGTAATACTCTGACTGGAGTTTTTTGAGTTATTTTTACTCGCTTTAAATTATTCAATTCTTCGAGGGATATCATATCTTTGGTCGCATCACGACAAATACAAAATGCACGATAAAATTTTGTTTTAACATTTTCGCCTTCTTTTAATTTTTTCAAATCAATCCTAGATAGCACTTTCAGATTCGATGTGATTTGCACTTGTCGCGAGGATCGATTAATTTCATCAACTAAATCTGACAGTAACTTTTCTGTTATTTTGGACTTTTGGGGATTAATTAATTCAACTGCAAATGGCCTCCCTGAGTATATATTCCTAACATCCACATCTTCTCTTCCAGATGATAAAAATTTTATAGCTGCATACATATAAGAAATATATTTTACATGAAATTATTATTGACTTGCAACATTAACAACTCTATTAAATATGCAACTTACATTGAGCTTTGACTACTTCAGCAATAGGATTACACAGTATATCTTGGACAGACGTTTGCATTTTTTTTTCACCATTTATAAACCATGGTGTTTGACTAAGTTCTCTTGATAATTTGTTATACCGACCTATAATTATAATATAGTATACATATATGTTAATTTATATTGTAAATGTATTTCTAAAATTACCTCCTATAAAAATACTAGAATGTGTACACATGATTTTTTCTACATAAATCTTATCAGTGGTTTCAAATATTACAGTTTTAAAACATTTAAAAAACTCTTCGTCTGTTATTTTAGTCATTAAAATCTCTATACTTGTTTTACTGAATCTATTATCATTGCACTTTCGTTTTTGTTTATATTCTATGTTATTTGTTTTTTTGTATGTATTTAATCTGAAACAATAAACACATTTAATTAGAAGTAATATTCAATCGAAATGAAAACAACTTTAGAAACTTACAATGCTTCACATTCTTTCTCATTGTATTCATACTTTAAGATAATTTCAATAATAAACGGTGATGGTGTTGTTAAATCCACTTGTTTTTTTATAGCGTTCTCAATTTTAGGAATTGTAATCCATTTCCAAACATCTTTAACATTTTGCAGCTTAACTTTAAGACAGAGCAACATGTCTTCTGAAAGATTAAATTGTGTTGCACATTGCATATGCAAAAAATGTTCTCTAAGGCTGATGCATATGGGTATTGTCAGTGCACATATAAATGTTTCACTGTCATAGCTTTGCTTCTCTACTTCAACATGAATCTGTATAAAATTATTTAATGTTTATATAAAATGTTTATATTTTAAGTCAGATACTTGTACATACTTTTTCTACAACTTGTTCTTGTATCTTATTTTGGAGTATCCCCAAACAGGCTGTGCAAGGAACTTCATTATTAAATGGAACATGCTCTACCTCAATATATCCAGCCTACAAATACTATATTATATTAGAAATTTGAAAAACTGCATTATTTTTAACTTACACTTTTGGCAAATTTAATAGGATCTTGAAAACAATCTATTGTACGGCATCCAATGAAACGAAAACAACACCTTAAACAACAATTCTGTTGTTGTAAGAAATTAAAAATACGTTTCTCCTCTTCAGTACAAAGATTCATTTTCATATAAACTCCTACAATATATCCTAATGTTAGAAAAATTTGAATTACGTCTACCAAGATAAAAGTTAAAAAATTAATATTACATTTCAAATTAATCTACTGAATATATAAACGCGTGTACATTTAAATAATAGATTGTAATATTTCACACTGTATGTTTCATTTTTATCAATAAGAACTTAAATTGTAGATTAAATTTTAATAATTTTTTAAATTATATTATTCATTCACAGTTTCTATTTAAATAAAATAATTAAAGGAAACATGTACATCAATTCATGATAAATGCGATACAGTCATGGTGTCATGATACAGTACAGACGAATACATTTTCTGTATCGACTTTAACAAGAAGTGTGATGGATGTTTGCAGTGTTGTCTGTTACTAGTGTAAATAGTTATGTATAAATTTTTAGATTTTATTTTGTTGTAACTGGTACCTGATTAATTTTTAGATTATATAGTAACGTAGTACTTAATATCATGCCTATCCTAAGGAAAAAATCTAGCAGAAAAGTAAATACGGAAAATGGCAATGACAATTTGATTGGAGGTTAATCATCGTTTTATTATTATTTGTTTAATTTCTTTGATTAATACATTTATTCAGAATGTGCGTATTGTCGAAATAATATTTTACTTTTCGTGACAGATGTAACCATTGACGACTTTGCAAATTCATCACGGACACACGCGAGATTTAAAAAGGCAGTGACGAATTTCTCTTCTGAAGGTTAATTCTTTAATACGTTTCAATCAGTTATATGTTTTGCCATTTCTGTTTAATAGGAGAAGTTTAATTCATTGTTTTATATTAAAATTTTTACATTATGTTCCTTATTTAATAGTGAAACAAGAAACAACAACACAAAAAGAAAAGAAACTTTTCTGGAATGAAATGGATGAAAATCTGTGTGATTCAACTAACAATAAGTTAAAGAAAAATAGTAAAGATACAAATAATAAACTTTTAAAAGTCTTTATAGTTTTAAACAAATGTACATTAATTTCATCCTCCAGGTGCATTAACAATTCAAAGAAGAAGTAGAAAGGCAAATTCGTCTGAAAGGATTATAAAGGAAGAAGGAGGTAAGGTAAAAAAAAGTCAAAATAAAAAAATAAAATTTTTTTAATTATAATAAAAGTAAATTTTATTTTATTATTTAGGTGTAGATTATCCATTGGATATATGGTTTATTATATCTGAATATATTAGTCCAGAGGCTATAGGAAAATTTGCTCGAATATGTAGAAGTTCTTATCATGTAACAACAACAGGAAAATTTTGGTTTCACTTATATAAGTCGTAAGTTTCTTGTTATTCAGAATATAAATTCTGATAAAGAATTCTTATAATAATGAGTAAATTGTAATTATAGTTACTATAGATTTGTTCCTGGTTTACCAGAGCGTTTACAACCACAATGTATGGTTCGTACACATGGACTTCGTGCTTGTGTTATCAGAACATTGCATTACACTTACTTTGCTTTGAAAAGAGAAGTTGATGATGTATCCTTTTTGAGACAAGATGAGCCACATTCTCTTGTAAAAAGACAATGCTGTCTTATGTGGCATAAAGTAAGCAATTTAGAAATATGCATGATTTAATATTGGATGATATAGAAAGTTTCCACTCAAAGTCATTTGAAGATAACTGAAGGCTGTGTCAAATTAATTCTACTTTTTGAATGATCCATTAGAATTTTTAATAAAATCATTTACAATGTAATTATTGCTGTTTTTTTTTAGAAAGGAAAAATGCGATGGTATTTCTTTTTCAAATTAAAAGAAATACCAAAGTCAACAAATAGTTCAATAAAGCAGGAAACAAAGATAAACAAAGAAAAGACAGATTTTCTGGAAATGCTGGAAGATGTAGCTGTGAATCCAGAAGAGGGTTGTAAAATACTTAGGGTATTTATTTTACTATAGGACGATTATTTATAGTAAATAAGACAATCATGTAATGTTATATTTACACAATATTATGTAATTTATAGGTAACTTGTTTAAATTATAGTATGTTTCCACCTGTAATTGGTCTGATTTTGCAATCAGTAACAATGACATTGATGCCAGGATTTAAAAATCATCGATTACAACTCGGCTTTGGAACATCAAATATTCCTAATACATCAACAAACCAAGTTATTTTAAATGATGTGATTAATTGCCATATTTTAGATTGGTGGCATCCATCTTATCCCCATCAGGATGGAATGACAGTTATTAAATTACCACAAAGTGATTTTTGGGATCAGAGCTTATTATGAAAACAAAATTCCATATTTTATAATCAAGCAGTTATACCATAAGTACGATCTTTGTAATATAAATACATTAATGTAAATAATACATTAAATATCTGCTAAGTAAATGATCTGAATATTTGTTTTTTTAAATTTCACAAATCATTGAAATATCGAAGGAAAGGACGAAGAGAATGCTAAATGATAAATGGGACAAAAATACTAATGTTTTATTAGTTATTATATGAAAAGTATGTACCTTGACCTTTATGTATAGGTCAAATAAAAGGTTATCAAAAGACCACCACAGCGTGATTCTACATCTTTGGATCGGTGGACATTTGCAAAAAGAAGTACGTGCAAAATTGTCCTTGATCGTGAAATTCATAGTCAAATATTTTTTGCTTGTATCGTATTCTACTCGTCGCGAGGATAAATAGTATGAAAGGAACCATGGGTCGCAACTCAACCGTTTTCTTGAAAAATGATGTTAAAGTTCCAATAATTTTACATCAATAGATGACATGAAATAATGAATGAAAAGAAACTGTTTAAATGTGAATGCTGAACAAGTGAACAACATAACGAAAAATGTAATGGTGGAATGTTTCAGTATTTGTTGTAGACGTTCAAAAAAAAGTTAAATATTTCGAAAAGTATTGAGTTTTTCACGATTTTACCTTTATATTTTTTTATTTCGAATGGCACAAGGAATCAATTCATGTAAAAAAAATCGTAGGGTTCCATTTAAAAAACAAGTACAATTGCATGACAGAGCTTGATAAATAATGTAAAATTTTCTTCTACAATTATTTTCTATCTCCCATAGAAACAAAGTTACAGTCCAGTCCAGTTACTAGAGTTACTCTATGCAGTTTTGATCTGTAATAAGTAATTCGTTCGGAACCGACCAGTTGCTTATTACGGATCAGGTATGCTATTCGACTTGACTTTGTTCTCGGACGGGGCTAGAGAACATAGAGAACGAGCGAGAAGTTTGAGATATGTATAACACGCCAGGATCGCTAATACAAGAGTGAAAAAGCATTATACATATTCTATTCTTTTACTAATCGGCGTCATTGTTCATTTAACCGTAAAGATTTATGGTTTCTCGCTTTTACGGACCTCTCACTCGTTTTCGGATCTCTCATTCGACGGCCGACTTCAAATAAAGAAGAGGGGACAGCGAGTTGGTTATTACGAGCCAGACGGCAGTTGCTTATCACGGATATTGTTACATATAACACTTGTACATATGTAACACTCACCCAAGAATTGAAAAAAAATATTTCATGTATAATTTTAGAATAAATATTGTTTGTTTGTACTTTGGTATTTTTCTTATTCTTTATCATTATATGTATCTAGGCTCCTACTTTTTAAAATAAAATAATTTTTGAAAATCGTTTTATCACTGATTTTACATAGCATCAATGAAAAATATAACTTAAGATTTCCGTTTGTAAAAGTAATATTACTCTGAGTCGAGATTGACCCAGCGCGGCGTCCTCGTTGTGCGTGAATGTTACAGAGTGTACTGTCCGAGGGTTAATGCGGTGTGCACACTGGTGTTCGCGAGCAGTTCACGAACAAATCATGAACCATGTTGGCCGGCAGTGTAGATATTCGTGAGCGGTGAACTCATTAGCGAGTTCCAGTGTTGATACAATGCTGCTCCTATTCGCGAAGCAAATATTATTTTTTTGCGAATTATTAGAATTTTAACATCAGTTTTCAAGAAAACGGTTGAGTTGTATCCCATGGTTTATTTCACTTTTTTTTGGTTTCTTTTTATGCACCCTATACACATAGTAACAATAAGTAGATAACATAAAACAAAAAAGTTTATTTTAATTTATTTAAAAAAACAAAAGAAACGAAACAAATTATCTTTTTGTTGCTGTTTTAACAGCATGTAATAATTCTTCTACATTATGCACGTTTGAGGTTGAAATCTCCATTTCTGTAATCTAAAAAATGCGATTTACATTCGCAATGTAATATAACTTTTACAGAGCAATAAATAAATGATTTGACAATAAGTGTTACCAGATTAGCGTAAGCTTGAACATCAACTTGCAATTGAATACGTATCTTTTCATCATCACTGATTCCTTGAGCTTCAGAGGGGAGGGACCCCGTAGATTTATCGCGTATTTTTTTTAATCTTCTTAAACTCTCCTCGGTCTTTTGTACTGAAGTTAAGACATCTGTCACGGAAACTAGATAGCTAGAATAAGCCAGTATGATAAATTTAGTAAATATCATAATGTTCAATAATATTACTTGTATCTTTTCTCTTACTGTTTGGTCAATGAAGAAAGAGCTAATTCCAACCAATTATTAACATTTTCTGGTATTACTTTTTTGTAATCCGCATGAAATTTAACAAGAAATTGAAGCGTATTTTTAACATAAGCGCATGGTTTTGTGGGTACATCCCTCTTAGTCCGTCTGAATAATCTTGGTATATCGCTGACTTGTTTCAAATGCGTCACACATTGTTTTAGAAGTTCATTTACAATTTCTTCCGTGATTTGTGGGCAAACAGTTTTCAAATTCTTTATCGTTTCGTCAAGAGAATCTATGGAAGAACACGCATATAATGATAAATGAAGTATTAGCAATAATGATATTAATATTTTATACCATAACCTTTTAATAATTTTAATACTATTGGTGTCTCTTGTTTAAGTTTCGAACGAGCTATTTCCAGAAGAGATGGCAGCATATTTACAAATCTTTCTAGATCCTTATACAAACAGATTAGGAAGTTAAGTTTTGTGGAGTGTTCTACTTTGCTTAAGTTGCCTATTTCATTTTCTATTGGCCATATCTGTACATAAAAAAATATTTAGTTAACAAAATTAAAAATTTTAACGTATTCTATTATTTAGAAAAGAACGAAGTTCTATACTTCTTTGAGTGCTGTTTGAATCCATGTTTGATATCTAGCACATATCTGAAGACTAAATTTCCAGAATCTGTATGTAAAATGTAACAATTTATTGTAACATTCTGCTATGATTTTTAATATTATATTTAAATTGTATTGTATTGTTTTTTAATATTTGTATTTTAATCTTACCTGTGAAAAAGTTGATATAAATATACATCATTGTCCCAAATTTTTTCTAAATTTTCCCACATCACACTGGTTGCGTAAAGAGAAAAATCATTTTTTGTAAGGGTTTGCAAAGTTCCTTTTACAAATGCAGGTGATATTGGTTCAGTTAAAGCTGTTTCAATTCCACTGGCTATTTCTTGAAATCGTATTTGAAAATATACCGGTAAATTCCATTTTTTGAGAAAGTTTTTGTATTGTGAATTTTCTTTTAGTACAACTAATGATTCGGGTGTGATACATTCAGCTTCCAATTTTTCCAGAAATTCTAAGGTTGCTACATATCTCTGAAATTGTGAAATATTATATTGTATGCTATCAAAATAAAGATTTTTTTTTTATTTACTTACAGAGTGAAATATTACTGGATCTCCAGGAGCAAAGATACATTTTATATACAGTTCAATTTTTTCTTCCACATCAATCCAGAAACTGTTTACCAAGAAATTGAAACCTTTCACAGAAAGTCTAAAAGAAAGACTTGAAAGTATTTGTGTATAATAATATTACAAAATTTGGTTGTAATGAAATGCATACCTGTTTGGATGCAGTGTGATGTCTAACAGTTGTTTCAATTCTACATTTAAAATATTCAATAATCTGTTGTATATATTTTGTAGGCCAAGCAAGTCAGTTTGCAAATGTTCTATATTAATTACACTGTAAATCAATGGACTAACAATCTCTTTCTTTACTAAATTCTCTGCATCACATATTTTATCAAGTGTGACATAAATCCTTAAGCAATGAATTAATAGAGTAGAATTTCTTTCTTGTATACATGCTAAGAAAAATTCATTGAGGTGTGTCATGTAAGATTGTTCAAGTTTCTCACCTTCCTGTTGAATATAATATCCCTTTAATTAATAGCAAAAATAAATTTATCATTGATTATTTCACTAAACGTGTACATACATTCTGTTTGTCATTGATAATGTCTAATTTGCATCTGGACATATGAAAATGCAATTGATTAAATTCTGCTGCAGCTTGTTCTAAAATGTTTATTTTGGCTGGGCTTTCAAGGAATGTATTTAAAGATAATATTGATGATAGCTTATTTAATGATTTATAAATATGTTGTAAGCTAAACACACTTTGTTTATATTCTCTAATTTTCTTACTTTCTGTAATATTGTGAGTAATTGCAATAATTTCATCATCTAGAGTTTGTTGTACTTGCTGCCCCAAAAATGATTAAGTACTATATAAGTAATATTACAAAAATGTTTGGTAATTGAATATTTTCTCTTTTCATTTACCATTACTTCTTCCTTTAATTGACCTAATGGTGTTTGTAAGTCATTAATAGCTTTATCTAAACCAATCAGATTACTTGATAAATTTACAAAATCTGTATAATCTCTATTGATTAAATCAATCATAGCAGATCTCAATAATTTCAAATATATCCCAAGATCATCTCGCATTGTTTCCAATTTTGTACTTTTCTTATGTTCTTGAAGAAAAGTATCTACATTGAAGTTTGACTAAGTAATACAAAGTACTGAATTAAAATAACATTCTATAATAAATTCAAAGAGTATAAAATTAACTCACCTGAATGAAATCAATTTCTGAAAAACATAAATCTTTTGGAGCTTTGGGTAAATTAATATTTTCCTTTGACATGATGTTAGATTTTTTATCATTAACCTTTTTTTCACAAAAAGTCGTATTTTGCTATTAAAAAAACCGGTGTATTTGCAAATAGAAAAAACTCATTCAGCGTTTGTTTATAACATACATTTGACAATTAATGCAAACTGATAAATTACAGAAGAAAACATTTGAAAAAGTGCGTAACAGTATAACGTTCTCTTCACAGTAACTTTTTGTATTAGTTACTCCGAAACGTATTGCTTGATGAAGCAAAAGTGAAGTTCCTAGGAGGAGTTAAGGTCAAAAAGTGGGAGATGGAGAAGAGCTTATGACATCTTCTCTACTAATCAGTGAATCACGATCAATATCCTTCGAAAAATGTTACCGCACTTAATCTTTTCAATTTCCTGTTTTTTTGTCAGAGTGCGACATTACCAACAGCTAATTGAAAATCATTTGTCTATCTACATCAGAATTTCTCCTTAAGTGAAGACTTAAGGAGGAATGGCGTATTTATCTTTTTGTCCACTTATTTGCAGGAGCATGCGCATGGAAGCTTCACTTTTGCTTGGTCATACATGTGTATATTTTATTGATGGCTTTAACAGAAATTTTTTCGAAGTGTTTGTTAACCCTTTGCACTCGAAGAGCTTTTTACTATAGGGTAGCAGCGAACCTTGCTAATTGCTTATACTAAAGAATTAATATCTATTACTTTGAAAATTGATATTTAATATTTATTAAAAAATGGATGAAACTTTTTAAAACTAACATAGAAACAAATCATACATATGTATAAATGTATTTTAATTATAATACATTCCATTAGAAGTTGGTTCTTTACGAAAGCCTCGATTAATTATTTGCCAAATAGTAAAAAATAATATCGCTTTTCAATCGCCACTCGAGTGCAAAAGGTTAATATATGTAAAAATGTTCAAATATCTTATCAAAATCTGCTTTTTTAATGGTGTTTAAACACAATACTTTTTGACTTAACTTTAATCTTGTATACGCATACGTATGTATAAATTGTGTACCCACGCATGCGTATGTAGCTGAACGAATAGACGGGTAGCAGTTCATATTCCTGACTAACAGTAAATATCTACATTTGTATTGATGAGAAAGCGATCTTATAAAACAAAATTAAACGAAAGGAAACTTTTACGGATTCGTAGTCGAAGGATTTCCATAAAAAGTGCTAGGGTATTTTCAAAAGTAGAATAGCTGTGAAGCCATCACCAAGGAACTTGACAAGTTTTGCTACTTTTAGTGGAATTTATTTTCAAAATGGCAGCTGCGAGAAGATTACAAAAGGTAAATCAAAGTTTCTGTCAATAGGAATGATTATACATTAAATTCGATATGTAAAAAATATAAGAAATGATATATAATTTCAACGTGACCACTGTGTAGGTGTTTAATAGAAGTTATCTCTGTAATATCCTTCTTACTGACATCGAGGTTTTCCACGATGATATGGAGCATTAATACTTCTACTATTATTTGTTAATATTTATCCTCTTTATGTTCATAATCTTTTCTAAATTAGATATTTTGTTACTCTCTTTAGATATATTCGTATAATTTTTAGATATTTAATAACATTGAAGAGGATTATTTTTTTCAGGAACTTCGTGATATAAGGGCTTCGGCAATGAATAATTTTAATATTCAAGTAGATGAATCGAATATGCTCACTTGGCAAGTCCTTATATTGCCGGTATGTTTTGATGTACCATTCTATTTTAAAGATATAATCTAATCTAACCTAACCTAACCTAATCCTATTTGTAAAGACAACTGTAGTTAGATATATGCAATGCTGTACTACAGTTTGATTTTGGAAACATTGGAATGATTGTATATATCATTTTCGAAATTTAACTGGTAACATGATAATGCAAGTTTTAACTATATATAATGTGTTTTTATTTTATTATTGTTTATTTAGAAATATTTGTCATATTTTCTATAAAATGTTTCAGGATAATCCACCATACAACAAAGGAGCATTTCGCATTGAAATAAACTACCCTGCAGAGTATCCTTTTAAACCTCCGAAAATAAACTTCAAAACAAAAATATATCATCCAAACGTGGATGAGAAAGGACAAGTATGCTTACCAATTCTAAGCCCTGAAAATTGGAAACCAGCTACAAAGACAGATCAGGGTAAAATTTAATTTTAATTTTTTGTATACTATAATGAAAGAGTAAGCAATAAGTAAATAGCTTATTTGCAGTTGTACAAGCTTTAATAGCATTAGTGAATGATCCGGAACCAGAACATCCATTGAGGGCAGATCTTGCTGAAGAGTTTTTAAAGGATAAAAAGAAATTTTTAAAGAATGCTGAAGAATTCACAAAAAAGAATGCAGAAAAGAGGCGGGAGTCGTCAGCTTCTAACGAATAACCACGGGTGACGGTTCTACTCACCATGATGCCTGCCACCTGTCAGCTAATTTAATTCAAGCCAATATAGACTTATCTGTTACATGAAAACAAGTTGATTGAAATACATGTGTACAGTATTGGTTAACTACCGACAATGATATTAATATGTGCAAATTGTAATGTTTATAAAGTGGATTAACAAATTTTTCAGAGCAAAGTCAAATATAATAAACTAACTGTATGATATTATGTACAATTTGTATTTGAAGTCATTGTATGGACACGATCTGTATGAATTTAAGAAGCATGAAAAATATCACCAACTTATTTCTGTTAAATCAAGACAATTATAATTTGTTATGAACAGATATGATGACATTATTAAAATAATGCATTTACTTCCAAACATTAAAAATACATTATAAAACTGTTAACTGTTCAAATTACAGATAACTTTTGACTCATATCAATTGAATTCATGAGCATCAAATGATTATTGTGAATGTACATGAAATTTATGTATTTATTAAACTGATCACACTGATACTGCAATTCGTATTTAGATTATTAATATCAATAATAGTATTGCTTTTTAATGTAATCTGGAAAACATAATTCCATCTTTTAATATTAAAAAATTAAATTGTAACTAAATATTTTGCATATAACTGCAATTGAACTATTTTACATGTATGTTTGTTTTTTATGTAAAGCTACCCCATTAAATATTAAGGAATTAAATTTGTCTATACTAGTTTGTTGATTACATAACATACAACAGTACAGAATGATTCAATTGTTAATATCTAAATACATAAACAATTTTAAATGTATCTTACCTCGCTTTGCACGTGCTTATATATGAATATATGTAAAAAGACTCGATTGTGCAAAAAATGTTAGAAAATGGAATGGAATAGGATTGGATAGAATTAATATGATTTTTTCATATTTAAAGCGTGTTGAAACTAAGGACTGCTTTTACAGGGTTTTATTTTTTATTCAGTTTTGCGTAAGAAAGGGTAAAACCTTTTGTTTAAATATTAAAACTCTATATTAATAAATAAAGATATAAATGAAAATAAAAATATGCATTTCACATGTTTTTTCTCCACCTGCCGACACACGAGCCCATAAGAATACGGTTTTTATATAATCATAACTTTTCATTCCCTTTATTAAGTTCCTCGTCTTTTATATAAGAATGCGCGCACTCACTTAAATTCCACAGATAAACTCCGCATCTGTTATAGATTTGTAGATTCCACTTTTGGCATACTACAATAAATATTCTGCGATTTAACGAAGAACTGGATTAATTTCGATTGCAATTAAAATAATTGATGAGCTAGGTGGAAGAGGTAGAACTTTCGAAGAATCTACCGAATTTGTCTTACTTGTATGGTTTCATTTATCTCGATCGCGGTCGTAATTCAATCGAAGGTCGAAACAAAATTTGGTCAAAATGGGATGTGGTGATAATCTTTTGCAAGGACAATGTGGAAAATGTTTAAAATAAAATAATCGAACGCTGAAAATGAGGCAAATATATTCTCAGATATACATTCACACTGCTTTATGTACAGATATAATAGATAACCACGAATGTAAATAAAATTATTATATAACATTAATTATTTAATAAAATTTCATGATATATCCCCATGTAGACTGCATATGATCATAGATAATCACTGGTTTACAAGAGTAAAAAGATTGCTTAATTGTAATACGCCCAATGTGTGAATCAGAGATTGTAACTTATTTTTCCATTTATACCACTAGTAAACGCACATTCAATTAAACGCTATTGAATTTAAATTACAATTAATTTTATTACAGCAAGTATTTTTTCACATATACCAACTGAAATACAATGAAGTAGTGAACTTAGGGAAGAGGAGATATTAACAACTTTACAGAACGTATTTATAAAATTTCTATACTTGAATTCTATACAACGAAAGTATAAATCCTATAAACCATTCAGTTACCTTCATGTCAACCTTTTCCACCAAACTGGTCAATTATGAAACACATGTAACTATTTTCTCTAAAAATCTCGAGGCAATCAACATCAATTAGTCTCAATTTATCTTTTATAAAGTCGATTATTTTTCTTCTATGAAATTCTATTTTAAGTTTTAAGTTATGAGCTAAATTACAAGATTACTTTAAAGATGTAACACGTGATATACGATATATATAACAATTTTATTCAAAGTGAATAGACGATATCAAAATTTCTGTTCAAAACCTAACACATAAAATAAAAATTCATTTCTTGCAGAAAAAATTACCACGAATCAATGGAATGTTGAATATTGATAATCAATCCGAATGATACGGCTGTTGATGTGGAATGCCTCTCATGACATGACCGTCTTAACTATGTTCATAAAAAGAACACTAGAATAACCTTAATCAATCAATTGATGAGAAATCGATGATCTAACATACACAAGTCGACAAAATATATAATGAAACATTGAAATATATATATTTAAAGGAATACGTATTATTACAAATTACTTACATGTTTGTACAGATCCAACATTTCAATTCGAGCATTAAGCAACGTACGTATACACCTTTCTGTATTTGAATCAATAAAATTGAAATTATTATTAAAAAATTCCATAATAAACTACCAGATAAAAAGGGAAAATGAATAATCGTTACACGTACCTATCTTCTGGAGTGCGTGCCAAATATTCACGTTCGATTAAACCTTCGATACGTTTCTTAATTATTACGGGTGACGGCAAAAATCGACCTCTTAATTGCTCTGTTACCTCCGTTACAAGTATATTGTGCTAAACAGGAAGAGTACGCGATATCACATAAAAAATGATAAACGTTTGAATAATTATACATGCAGAGACATCGATGTTACATACAGGCATACGCTTCCTGTCTTTCATGATACGAACGATAGCTGCTTCTATTTCGTGCTTTCTATCCTCGTCTACTTTATTACGGGTTTCTCTTCTTTCAGGTTCCGATTCACCTTTCGCCGCTACCGTTTGAATCTTCACTCTAGAAAAAAATGACAAATTATTATTAAAAATTACTAAATTATCAAAAACAGTTTAACGTGTTGCACAGTACCTGTGTAATTTACTTGTAAAACTGTCATTGACACAGAAATAATGCGAAGGTTCTATTTCCTTTGTACGAGGATGCTTTAATAACACTCTTTGCGTGGCTTTGCCCATTGCGAGAGATTGTAATGCTCTAACCAAGTCTCTCTCTGGAATATCGGTTTCACCTTGAATTTCCTACGCAATGTTTCATATATTGTACAGACAACCGTAAAATATCGAGTGTCCAATGTGAAAGAAATCAAGAATAAATCTGGCTACTTGAACTAACCTCATACGTCAATTTGTCTCGTTTGTTGAATAGCATTAAAACGCACATTTGATAAGTTGATACTTGTATTATGTGTTTCCTTGTGTTTCCACAATTGCTGCTACGTTGGCTTAAAAGACTACCATTGGTGCTACCGCTTCCGTTACCGCTAGAACTCGAAGACGATGGTGTATCTAAGCCACCGCAGCTGCCTTCTTCTCTTCGTGGTCCATGAAATACAGCGTTTAAATCCGCGGAACCTAAAGTGGTTATGTGTTAACCGCTTCATTCCAAACGTGATGATAAAAAAGACAGTACCGTTTTACTAACCTAATTGTGGTTGTAACGTCAACTGTCGACCACTGTGTTTAGCAAGATAAAATCGTCGGAAGGCATCGAAAGCATCTCGTGGAGCAGATGGCATGCTACATTTCGGAGTTGCGGACTGCGTCGGCCAAAAACCAGTTGTTAAAACTCTTACACTTATATCCACACCATGTAAATTTGTCTACGATATAAGATACAAAATTATAGAATAGATTATTTAAAATTTCTATGAGTTATGCAGTTAAGTATAAGTACTAACATTAGATGTAAGGACATGATCTTTAAATTCATCCATGATGGTATTACTGACTGTTATGTCTTTGAACATCCCCTCTAATTTTGATGTGAATTGGCATCCACATTCAGTCTAAAATAGTTAATTATCAAGAAGTTCATTCTGAGGAAGACAAATATTAATAAATGGACAACAAAAAGAAAAATGTTACCTTTAGTTTGGATATCATGTTTTTTTCACTATCGTCGGACACGGATTTATTCAAGAGAAGACGCTTAGCTAAGTGTTGTTTATAGTACCGTTCGAATACATCTTTTTCTTGAAGAAATCTGAATAAAACCATAGTTTTATCCAGGATACCTTCAATTTCTTGCTCTGTCATCTAAAATGTGTTTAAAAAAATGTTTATCATGAATATCATTTACAGTACACTATCACTAATGACTAGAAACAAAGATATAAGAAGTAAAACTTATTTTTCGCTCATCTACAACAATCTTTTGTAGAATACAAGAAATTTAGTAAAATTTAACGGTATTAATTACCGTGAGTATCTATACACGATGAGTATCTATGAGTACCTATAAGAACACAATTAACACAACTAACCCCTTTAACACCTTTTTTCAGCTTATCATCGATGAAAAGCGAAAGATATTCTGGACTTTTTGTGTTTAAATTTAGAAAATATTCAAAGTCAGACGCGATCATTTGCTTATAGTTCTTGTCGTTATTAAACGAGTAGTGAAGAAAATGATCGAAGCGGTCTTTCAAGTCCAGTAAATTTTGAATAAAAAGAACGGCATTCGTCGTTAATTCATGTTCCTCTTGAACCATGGCACGTCCTTGTTCTTTAAGAAATTGAGAGACACAATCGCACACAGTACGTAATCCATCCGAAACTCGTGAAAATAATTTGTACATGCAACCCAAATCTTCAGTTTTCTGATTTTTGAGCATGTGCACCACACCACTGTTTTCCATCTGTACATAAAAAGTAAGAGAAAAAATCATTCAAATTTATCACTTTGTACAATAAATATAATATCTATTTATACCTCAACGATAGTTTTCATATGAATTTTAATTAGTTCTTCTTCTACAACTTCTACTATCCGCGGTTCGGTAGATTCATCTAAATAATGTTTCGCTCTTTCTGATTCTTCGCAAATTCTAGCTTCAACTTTCTTTATATAAACTGATGCGCTATTTTCTGCCAGAAATTTTTGAGATTCCATCTACATAGAAGCCCATGATTAATAATGTTAAAAATTAAGAGAGAAACAAAGTACACAGAAAATACACATAAAAGGCTCTCTCACTCTATAAAACTCAGCACTTTGTTGTAAAAAAGGCCTTTCAAAGTCTTCTTCATAAACTTGACGACTGTTAATGCCAAGTAACATTAACATTTGGCAGGCATTTTTTATCGCAATGCGATCTACTACTTCTCCCCTTCTTTCTCTTGCTACCATACCTAGTAAAGTTTCTCGTAAATGATCTCTAACACATCCATATCTGACCACCTAAAAATAATCATTTGTATTTTTAATCAATCCAAGAGCATTTCATAATCGAATAAAAAATAATTACCTGATCTCTAAATATGATAAGTCCCAAATTATACACATTGTCTACATCATGCTGTTGCACATACACTCTGTCCATATACATCAAAACATCTCTGATCATCACCATAGATGTTTGATGATCATTCCAAGCTTGATTTAATGTTTGAAGAAAATTGTTATGAAGAGATCTTAATACATCTTCTCTCACTTTATTTTCTAAATGATGTGTTACAACTTCCTTTAAACCAGTATATAAACGCTCCCCATATTTGTGAAGGACCATAGTATAAGCATTCCGATAAAGTTCTTCAAAACTAAGTCCTGAATTATTTTTTTTCTGAATTTCTTGAATAGCATTTTTCAGTAGTGCCCAAATACTTTCTACATACTTTTCATCCATAGTCGTCTAAAAAAGAAGAAAATAATAAATGTACCATTAACTCTATTATTACATGAATAATATTAAAAAATTAAACCTTAATTCAGATTGAAAATGAGAAACTTATTAGGAATAATGGGTAAATAGATTGTATTAAGAAAAATCAACAGAATGCATCAAATTATGTAATACAATCTCTAATATTGGTAAAAATGTAGTTACTAAAAATGTTTAATTGTTTATATGTCTTCTCAATGTCTTGTTAATTTTAATTATGACATAATTCCTTTTCACCTTTCATAAATCATTTATACATTCCTTTATAAGCTATTAATAATATTTAATGAATATTTTGTTCTTTCCATATAAATACAGAATTTTTAATTTATTGCTTTATTAGATAAAGGAGGAAAACAAATACGAATGCAAAAAGATATTTTCTAATAAATTACGTACAGTGTAAAACATGACCACAAAGAAGCACACAAATATTGATGGTACTTTAAGTATCAAAATTTTTTGGTTAATTTTTTAATATCATGTTATTTGATACACAACTTATGTGGAAAAATTTTACAATCACAAATTTTGTCAGGTATAATGGTCACGGTTTAGATTTAAAACTTTATTGACAGATCAAATTGAACTTCGTCGATAAACATGACAACATTACAATATTTATATTTTATTGCTTTTATTTTATATGCCACTATAGCAACTGCTGATACATTCATTTCTATGACAGAACACACAGTATTAGGAACATCATTATTGAAACATAAAAAACAAAGAAACTAACTATAATCTTCAATAAAAATTATTTTCCTACCCATTACTACATACTGAAAAATGAAATTTAGATTTATAATACAGAATCAAATGACAAAAACAACCATGTATCCTTGAGTTATAATTATTTCCAACTTGACATCTAATTTAAAAGAACAGGTTATCAAAGTATACATGTATATATGTTTAAATTGGAGTATAGCATATTTACAAATTCATGGGTCAAATAAAAGGAGGCAGAGAAAAAAAAATAACAACATGAAATAAATAGGCATTTAAGTGAGTAAAACGAGAGCTAAGACTAAAAAGCGAAAAAAGCGAGAAAGGAGTTGAACTCACCGGAAAAGCACGTATACGCATTTTGCTTTCTTTCTTAAGCATAGAACTGCTCTTCATCATGTCGAATTTCTATCTGGACAAAGATACTTTTTAGAAATGCTCTCTGGCCAATGCTACGATAACGTTACACCGTGTGTACATCGACACCAGTTAAATGTAAGGAGCATTCACTCACGATACGAGGTAGTTTAGCCGATGATGATCGGCTATAGCGTGAAAATGCAATCACTCATCCACGTTCGCGGTGTGTAGAAGGGGAACCGAAAATTGTGTTGTTATCGTGGACATTTAGTAAAAAAAGGAAAGAAAAATATGCGATGTATCGGTGAAGAGAGGGAGAGAAAACGAGAGGCACGGAGAAAGACAGTGAGAAACAGAGAAGGGATGATGGGGAGGGGGGTGGAGAGGGGAAGAAGGGTAAAGAGTGTTCTCTTTTTTACCCGGCAGATGAAAATGGGGGATAAGGCGCTTAAGGGTTGGAAAGGTAAAGGGGGAGGGTAACACGCGAGAGAGAAAAACAGGTAAAGAATATGAACAAAGGCGAAACGGAGAGAAAAAAAAGAGAGGAAAATATCTACACACTCCTGTCACGAAGTGATCGAATCTGTCAGATTCTCGATAGTACACTAGAACTTCGTTGGGTTTTGAACACGTTAACGTGATTGTCGATATGTTCTCAACGTCTTTCGAGGCATAGTGAGTTCAAAACGTGATAACTCGAGTTTTCATCTCTACGGTCCGATGTTAGATGCACAATATATCATTCACAACGATACGCTCCATGCACATGAATCACGAACACTGTTATGAGTATAGATTCGCCCTTAACGAGTTTCATTATGCTACCGTCGCTCTAAAAAAGACTACTTTTTGACTATGCGTTAATTCGTATACTCATATTCACTTTAGATTTAAATTTGTCACTATTGATTTAAAAATTATATTTTTATATTGTTTAATAACTTCAAACGTTACTTGTAATTGAATGCAGCTAAATTCATATTATTACTTTTACCATTTCTATGAAAATTTTCCTTAAATAAAACTAATTAAATATGATTTCAACATTCGTATATTAATAATAAAAATCCGAATTTATATTTTATTGGAAATTATTAAGTTAATATAATAATCTAACGACCAATTACAATCGGAGGAGTAAAGATGGCTTTACATGAAACTTTATACGACTTCTTGTCTTTACATTCGTAAACTTAACTACTTTACTTGTTGTCGCTGCTTTAAGAACGAAGAACCATTTGAGTTACTTGTAGAAAAAAAATTAATTAATTGTGTGAAATTTATTTTAGATAAAGTTAATGTATAAATATCCTAGAAATACGATATTGTTCTACATTTTTTAAATTATAAGTAAACGTATTATTTAAAAATTATTTCGGCTAATTAAAAATGTGTTAGTATATACTTTTACACGAACATACACATGCACAAATATGATGAGGCTACAAGTTTTATTTGCATTGACCTTGCATTAAATACATTTATGAACTGCAAATCCGAAGAACATTACAAGATGCTAGTCATTAATATTCAATAAACATTTATTTCTTATGTTTAATTACAAGTAGTTGTCGAGATATTTATATAAACCAATTATATGATCAAATTAATATTAAATTTGGACACGCATATATCGTTTGTTAAATGTTTAATGAAATACCTAACAAAATGATAGTCTTCCTATAAATTTTGAAGACAAGACAAATTTTCTGCCACGAGCATATGATTTATATACGAACATGTTCGCCGAAAATACGTGATTACTGCATTTAAATTTTCCTACATAAAGATTGTTTACCTATCACAGTACAAACTCCAAAGATTACCCGAAACTTTTAAATTGATAAGGAGTAGTATTCCTATGATAGTGCATAATTAACTGCTATTAACTGCATAATTAATTGCTTTAATGTAGTTCATTATTAAATGATCTAACGATTTAATCAATCTTGAATATCATTCCACTTATTCACTTACTTGACATTTTACTACGATAACGAATAGATCTTTATGATAGAAAGTAACGTTTGAAGATCGTGGAAATTTTGTGATCTATGAGTAACGATAAATGGATAAAAATTCTAAATTTTATTGGTAAATGAAAATATATAGATATATTGAAATATTATTGTAAAAGAGATATATTAAGAAGATTCTTCATAAATCGCATAAAGTAGGTAAGAATAGTAGAAATACGAATGTGTGTAAAATTGTTCCGTAAGGCTGCCATGTTTTCGCCCCACCGTCTCATCAGAGCGAACGTGCATCTTATAAGCAGCGTAGCGTGTATTGAATCGGGTAGTAACACAGTTGCTTCATTGCGATTACTATCGCCAAAAATTTGCCAGGCGCCCAATAAATCTGATAACTCATTCGTTAGGACATTCAGTGATTCCTGTAAAATAATGGGGAAAATAAAGGTAAGCGACATTGTAGCTGTGTCACTGACATTTGTTAACGGCGGTATATGTATGTTTAAATTTTTTTATTTTGTAATACGTATGAATTTTAATTATTTTGGATGGCAGCATTGTTAGAATCTTAAAACAGGTTTTCAATTATATTCCGTTTTATTATGAAATGAAGTTCTGTTTTGTATCATGAATATATAAATAAATAATTTTTGTATAAAATTAATTTTGTATTATTGCAAATTTTTATGTTCATAGCATACTTCTTGAATTGCCATTTATTTTAGGTTGGACCAGTTGTTGATATCCTGGGTGATGAAATGACAAGAATTGTATGGGATGCTATTAAGCAAAAACTCATTTTACCTTATTTGGATGTTGAACTTTATACCTATGATCTGGGTATTGAAAATCGGGATACTACCAATGATAATGTGACCATAGAATGTGCAAAAGCTATTATGAAATATAATGTAGGAATCAAATGTGCTACTATTACCCCAGATGAAAAAAGAGTAGAAGAATTTAACTTGAAACAGATGTGGAAAAGTCCCAATGGTACTATTAGGAATATGCTAGGAGGCACAGTTTTCCGTGAAGCTATTATTTGTAAAAATATACCAAGATTGGTAACTACTTGGACTAAGCCAATTATCATTGGCAGACATGCACATGCTGATCAGTATAAGGCTGTAGATTTTGTAGTACCCGGACCAGGTAAACTTGAGATTACATGGACTGGAGATAAAGGAGAGAAAATTCAGCATAAAGTTCATACATTCAAAGGATCTGGAATTGCACAAGCTCAATACAATACAGATGAGAGTATTCGTGCTTTTGCTCACAGTTCTTTCCAATTTGCTTTACAAAGGAACTACCCCTTGTATCTTTCTACTAAGAATACAATTCTTAAGCACTACGATGGCAGGTTTAAAAATATCTTTCAAGAAATATATGACAAAGAATATAAAGCACAATTTGAAGCCAAGAAGCTTTGGTATGAGCATCGCTTGATAGATGATATGGTAGCATATGCAATGAAGACAGAGGGTGGTTTTGTATGGTCTTGTAAAAATTACGACGGTGATGTTCAATCTGATTCTGTGGCACAAGGATATGGGTCCCTGGGTTTAATGACTTCAGTCTTAATTTGTCCAGATGGACGTACAGTGGAAACAGAAGCTGCTCATGGTACAGTTACAAGACATTATCGTCAGCATCAACAAGGAAAGGAAACCTCAACTAATCCAATTGCCTCTATATTTGCATGGTCAAGAGGTTTACTTCACCGTGCAAAACTGGATAACAATAAAGATCTCAAACGATTTTCAGAATGCCTAGAAGCAGTTTGTATTGAAACTATTGAATCAGGCATTATGACAAAAGATCTTGCAATTTGTATTAAAGGAGTAAATAATGTTACTAGATCTGATTATTTAGAAACATTTGCATTTATGGATAAATTAGCAGAGAACTTAGAGAAACGACTTAAATGACTGCCATGCGATTCTCGTGATAAAATGCTATCAAAGTATTAAACACATATAGAGAGGGAATACTATAACTGGTAATGGGGAAAGAAACTGCATTTAATTCACATATGATAGATTGCAAAAATGGAATACACACCCAGTGATATGAATGAAATTAAAATTGAAATACAATTAATAATGTAATGCATTTTTACAAAAATACAGTTTGTTTTGATATTATATATGTATGCTTTACTTTTGTCTATATATTTTTTAAACAATTGTTAATTATAAATTATATTAATCGAACTAATCATTTATCATTGCCCATCCTTTCTCTTACGATAAAACTGATAAACGCCTTCAATTTATTGATATGCGAAAGATATTCAATTTATTGATATGCGAAAAAAAATTCTAAATTACGATTACAGTGTGCCCAGTAAAAAATCGAATTATATAATATTTATTTAACCATATCACCCATCCTAAACGAGATTAATTTAACGATTATTTTAATAATAAATATTTAGTTGCCACGTCAGCCTATACTGCGCTTAATTTTATCGATATTCGTATCGCGAAAGTATGTCAACCGATTTTCATTCAGTTTTATTAATAATACATTTGTGGGGGATCCTTTCCAGGCGATAATTGTAATTAATCTTAAGATGAAATAAATTTGTCGGATCAACAATTTACATAGAGACGAACAAAAGCTTATATCCAAAAGAACTAACAAACTACTAAATTCAAACTTTTAAAAAACGCGCGCAAATGAGACGCATGTGCAAACCGAAAACCCTACACATTACTATCTCAAATTATTAAAAAGAAAAAAGAACAACAGATCCTACATCTTGCCATGTGTCCATTACATATAATAATACTAAAACATCTGTTTTCTTTCTCTACTTTTAGATAAGGTTATTATTTCGTATTTAACAAAATAAAAGTTAATTGAAAACGTACAAAGTATAAAAAACATTTTATAGATTAATGTTGAACACTATTCAATGAAATAAGTAGATATGATCAATACAGAATTATCACCTTTCACTCATGAACAACGATCATAGTAAATAGTTTCAAGGTTATTCGTTCCTTAATTAAAAAGCAATCATGTAGTATTATGCGATAGATAAGACGAAAATTTTGCACACTAAGTTTCTAATAATACAAGCTGCAGAAATTCTCAAACCTTTGTTCTTAGATTACCATACAGTATAGCACTGTAAAAAATGCGAAGTCAATATATATAGTTCTGATTGTCACGTATTTATGTGCGTTGTTTTACATTTACATCACGAATTTACGCAAATGTAATAAAAAAATGAAAGCGAATATTTCAGAATCGTCGATCCTTTTTCTATGTTGATGAAGTTCTACCTGAAAATATACGAAATAGTCCTATGCATCTATCGAATTAATATTTGGTAAATACATATTTTGTTTTATATTTAATGATAATTGCTACTTTTTTTTTTATTAAAATTAAATATACATATATATATGTAAGAAAAAATTCTTTTTCGTAAAAAAATTGAACGAAAATATTAAGCATTTACCAATCCTTTGTACTTTGTAAAAAAGTCATACTGAAAAAGGAAGATAATTATGAGAAAGGGAATAGAGGGGGGGTTATAAACTTGTAGCGACGCTAATATTTCTATAAACTTTCTCAACAAACAAAAATCCTGAATAATGCATGACTTCGCACAAAACAAAACTTTGAAATACATTTTATGAAAAAGAAATATTGAAATTATTAGTAATAAAAAATTTGCAAATATATAATCAGCAGTAATGTGGATTTGCCGAATATTTTATAATATTACTAACTTTTAATAATATCACAAAATACATAACATGCAACATAAATTGAAACATCTTTAACGAATTAATAGTGCGTACATAAGTAATACCTGCCTTTACTTATATCTTATCCTGTTGAATGATTAATATATTATAAACTAAATATTATTAATACATTATAAACCAGTAAAGATAGACGAGATCGAAGATCGTGTATAATATTTTGAGCTTAGCATCGAAATGAATTTGCTTATTTCTAGTAAAAAGGCATTTCTAAACGATGAGGTAACATTTGTTTATTCGTTTAAACAAGTTAACCATCGTTATTGTAACGATCTGTCACCATCAGCTTCATTCTCTTCTCCTGCTGCAGTTGTGTATTGAGGGCTGCAGGAGAAACCAGCCAGAGGAAGTGGGGGCGTGTGTGAGGAGTGTGTGGATACCAGAATCAGAATTGGAATTGCAGATGGCGCCTGACCTGCGCCACTTCGGCATCGCCATCGTTCTGTTCGAGAGTTCGAGCTGGCCGAAGAAGAGGGAGGGGCTGTTCGCTCTACTCTCTCGCGTAGTCTTTCTACAATTCATCCTCCGATCCATCCGTCGGCTACTGTTAGCGCCGATGACGAGGTATTCGAAGAGATAAATCGTGGTACCGAGATAAAAAAGGCCGTGTAGAGAAAGGGAAAGGAAGGGAGGGAGGGAATAAGGGTCCGACGAGAGCATATATTCGATTTTTTTTATCGAGAAACCGTATGAAAAATCGTAAGACGTCGCGATGGTAAATTCGGTGCTTCTGGTTAGTTGTACGAATCGATTGAAGCGAGATCGTGGATTTATCGGCCTATCTATATCCAATGGTCGTTCGATCTGAAGATAACCTGCTTCTTCAAGCGAATTTAACTCTGCCTCGAGGTTTGTTTTACAGATGAATCAAGATTAAATAATTTCTCCCTATTTTTCTCTTGGTTTGTGTAATACGTACACATACGCGCATATGCGCTCTAAATGGTACCTGTCAACCAGTCGTTCGACTGTAAACCGGAAATCGCACGGAGAAACGGAAATCGCACACGCGTGTCGGAAAACTATATCTTCTTTCTCTGTTCCTCTTATGCTGTTTCTGTTAGATTATGTCGCCCTGCTTTTTTCTGTGTTTATTGTAATTACAGAGAGAACATATACGCTTTATCGTTAGAAAACAGATATGACAGGGATGGTTGTACGTAAACTGAAAAGAAAAACAGGGTTTATGGTACGCGTGAAAAAGTAATTAACGTTTCAGCTATACATTGACCCGTTACGATCGGCTATCCTATCACATAAACCGGATGTCGGGAGTACGAAAGGCGAGTTATTGGAAATAATTATACTTGAGGTTAAAGTGTAACTGTTGCGAATGTAAAATAAAAATTAATTCAATTACGTTTTAATATACACTTGTGGTATAGGCACAATAGTCGCAGAATAGATTTTTCCAAAAATAAGTGTGAAGATTCAAGGAACCACTCGGTTAATTTACTTAATAATTGTATTAAGGAAAACATATTATTGAAGTTGTCGATTTTTCGAAGAAATTTAATTTTTCGCGACTAATTCAATCAGGTATTTAAAAGAAAATATTTCAAATCTAAAATATAAAACCTTGTATAATCGATGCTCTTGCATATGAAGTATTAACGAAGCCGCAAGTTTTATTGTTATCCTGGTAACGCTGCGAGAGTCGATGCATGAAAAAGGAACAAAATTGCGCTGAATTATATTGTTTTATTCTTTGAGTTTACTTCTGGAAGTATAATTGACGTAAAAGTAGGTTTTTTCCGTGAGAATGCTCGAACGCCTTCTTCGTCAGCAGTTTTACTGGCAAAGAAAAAAATGGCGCCCATAGCCTCTAGATCGCGCGACCACCGAGTACGCTTGTATTCGTACTTCCGTAACGTACATCAGTCTCTTCTATCGCGGTTCGATAAATTGACCGACAACAATTTCGATGAGAATCTCTACCTCGTAAACATTATGCTCAAAAACGATGATGTATTGACGTATGTTTTCATTTCTAATCGTAGAAACAGAATCATTTTTAAAATCGACGCGAAACATGTATGTGCGATGTAAAGTGGCTTGACGTTAATGCCATCGGAAAGGAGAAAACGGTGTAGACCGATGGAGAAGTGAATGTCGTTCTCCTCTCCTTTTTTACCCCGATACGCGGTTGAGGTAGATCGACGAGAAATAAAAGGATATCTCGATGCGCGACAGGGACTCGGGAAGGAAACATACGTGGGACAGAACGAATTTTGTCCAAGATGTCAGGAAGGCTGCCCCGATTGCGTGCACTTCGTCCACGACCCCAGCAGCTAAAGCACGAGCCGCATAAGGAAGGTAACCTTAAAGAGGACCGACAGGAAGTCGCAATGAGGGAACATGAGATGCAGAGTGACACTGAAGAAATCTCGTACAGCGTCAGAAACGACGAAGGTTTAATAAAGAACAATCTGAAACATGAACCAGAAAGGCTTGATTGTTCAGGGCCTTCGCAAAGTTACGAATGCAAAACGTGCAAGCCATCAAAACCTTTAACAAGTCTTAAGGCGTATCTCGATCATCTGAAAAAAGAGCACAAACAGAAGGTATATCATTTTAAATAAATTATAAATTAGGTTGAGGTAAAAATTTAAATATTATTTTTTTATCAAACGAAAGTTTAAAAAATTTAGAATAATTATGACCTTTTACTGAGTTTTTTCACAAGAGAAGAGAGCAGAAAATTGTGTAGACAAAAATGTGTGTGTGTGTGTGTGCGCGCGCGTGTGTGTGTGCGCGCGTGTGTGTGATATTTGTAATTATGACAAAAATATGACTAATAAAAGTATGTAATAATTTTTTAGGGAAAATTTATACGTGATACTGGAAATAGGTGCTCTATGTGTTCATATGTTGCACTGAACTCAAGGGATCTTGAAACTCATCAGAGAGTGCATCATTTAAAGAGGAGATTTTTCCGATGTGCTAAGTGTTCTTATGTAACACATGTACGTGCTCGTTATACAAAGCATGTGAAGTATCACTCGATGCCAATGATTAAGTGCGATGCCTGTGATTTTCGTACACCATACAAGGTTGACAGAAGTTTTACAAAATATACAGAATTAATACTTGTTTGATATCAGTAAATGTGTCTTTCTTTATAGTGGAATTTGGACAGACACACCAGAAACCATGGAGGTGGAGGGGCTTTTCAATGTCGTGCTTGTAATTTTACAGCTGATATTAGACAAAGTTTAACAGTACACGAAACTAATCATCATGAACCTCCTGTAGGTCAAACAAATCGTAAATCTTGCAATCCTTTTGAACGTAAACCAAGAAATAGCCCTAAACGATATAACCAGGTAATGTGATAATTTATTTTATAAGTAAACCTTGACATTTGAGAATATATTTAAAGTCTATATGATACAATTTACAGGTGGGTGCAAGTGACTTTCGAGATTCACTGCATATATCTGGAAGTACAACAGTGTCAATCAGTCCTGGAGACTCATTTATTTCTGATCATTCTATGGAAGATAAAAGAAATGCAATAGCTAATGCAGAGTGTATAGCATTAAAGTGTGAGGAGAAAGGTTGCCAATTCATCACTGCATGGGATTCTGAGATGCAAAGACACTTGGCAGAATGTCATGCTCCAATCATATCAAATAAATCTAGAAAACCACTGCCAATGTTAATTCCTTTAAGTCCTGCTAAACCAAACAATACTACCTCCAGTGGACTTTCGACAACATTGCTAAAAGTTCCGCGTGTCAGGGTAAGACCGGAACTCGCGCAAATCGCAAGAGATACGGAACTGGCGAAGTTGTATGGAAGTAAAGAAGTTAGTCACAATTTTTATCTATCAAAAACAATCATATCTAAGTAAATCTGTAATCTGTTTAGAGTGTTTTGTTCATTTTTTATAATAATTCGGATATATTTTCTCTCATAGGCCAGCAACTTAAAGAAGGATGCGAATAACGCGGCAGATTTATTTGAAAAAAAAAATGCGTCCTTCTTTGATAAGCTTAAGGAAAAGCTTACTACGACGGCGTCAATTAATAACGGAGTGCCGGAGGTAGCTGTAAGTACTACGAACGATTTGAAATGCTGGTGTACTTTTAAAGCTAGTAGCATGGAAGAGCTGGCTTGTCACAAACAAACACACCACACTGCTCTCAGTGTATCTGTGGGTACAACGCGTTGCCCTAAATGCAGAAGACGTTGCAAAAGTTCGACTGATCTACAAGTGCATATGCAGTGTTGTCACTCGACAAGCAACGATACGTCCTCCATACACAATAGCTTAGAAAAATTATCAAATTGTTCAGAACTACGTGTGACCTCGTATCGCGGTGAATATGCATTCCCAGCGCAAACGGATTGGGACGTTAATCTCAGCGGACTGAATTCTTCTGGATCATCGGTATGGTGTTTCACAGAAATAATATATACATACATATAATACCTTCTTAATGCGTGCACATGAACAATATGAACACATGCACACGAACAAACGAATAAAATCGTTTGAAAGAATTGCAATACGAGAGTCAACAGATCTGACTATTTTTTATTCATGTCGACTGTATTTCTTGAAATATGTTGATTGCAAGCACCCCGTACGGCCATTAGAATAATATATTTAAAGTACGTTTCAGTTTTTAGCTTAAATCTAGCAAATGTATTTTTTTTTTATTCAAGTATGCAATCCTGTTTACTATAAACTATCTATTATTGTTATGTTGATGATATACATGTTCTGCACACGTGTGTGTGTGTGTGTATATATATATATATTTATTTATTTATTTATTTATTTATTTATTTTGCTTAATTTTGATAAAGGTAGTCAAATCTTTTGTCAGGTTGAAGGCTCCTCGACGCATCCAAGTGGCCGACGGGTATTCAAATGCCCGCATTGTCCATTTTGGGCATCCACCGCAAGTCGTTTTCATGTTCATATTGTCGGTCATTTAAATCGGAAGCCATTCGAGTGTTCCCTATGCGCGTATCGCTCTAACTGGCGGTGGGACATCACAAAACATATTAAACTTAAAGCAGCTAAAGATCCAGTTCATATGACTGCCAGGGTACTTATGACGGATGAAACAGGTCGACGGAATTATTCCAAATATAACAAATATCTTGCACAGGTGAAAGCACAAATTTCACTTACATTTAAAACAATTCTTTTATTAGTGGAAAGAGAATAAAAGAATCTAAAATGTGCTTGTCAATTTTCATAGGCGCACTGACTTTTTTTTTATAGTTTCTTTCAAATCTATCTCTACGGTCACGTACATTTTTTGCTCGTGACAAGCACGTGTGATGATCCTTGTGATTCAAATTAGAGAGGCTGGATTCCATTTTTACAAAAAAAAAAAAAAGCCGACGAAGAGTAAATAAAATGGGCACGCAAAAAACGTGTTTCCTATATCGAAGCGCTTGGACACTTGATTGGTGTTATGATGATTGTAATCAGATTACAATTACAAGCATATTCTTAGTAATTACAAAACCGACACGATATATAACGTTCAAATGTTTCATTTTTTTTTTTTTTTTTTTTTTTAAACTTATTTGTATTACAAAAGAAATTCTCAGTGTGCCAGAATAGTTGTTTTTATTTGCTGAGCAAATAAGTTTGTTTTTCCATTGTGCAACAAGTGTATCTATGTATATTTGGCAAAGAATATCATAATATATGCATGTGTTTTTATTTTATTCTTTAGGTCGAGCAACAGTCATGGGATGATCAGAACATGGAGGAGCGTAGTGTTGAAGAGAGCACTTCCGACGAACCACCGACTAAATTGTTGATAATGAATAGCAGCGATTATCTGCAAACACCTGAACTCACATCCACTCCAGTTTCAATCATATCCGCGGGCGAGGGAAATAATATTAACACTATTAACATTGGATTAAGACCACCGCCGCCTCTGAAAGCAGCCACCCGGAACAGAGGTCAATCTTTACTTAAGAACAATCTGATTTCTCCCCATACACAAAGTGGATCGAGTGGATCCACTTCGGCTACAATCACAGAGGAGAATAAGCGCACCATGTGGAAGTGTAAGCGTTGTAACTTTCGACATTCCAACAGAGAAACCGTTTCGTTGCACGTTAGGTCTCACAGTGAATCTGAACAACATCATGGTGAAGAAAAGGTATATAAATCATCTTGGTTTATGTTTTATATTCTGTCTGGCACAATAGAGTAATAATATATTTGCGAATTGTGGTTGTTTGCAGAATGCATTTGGTTGTGGAGACTGTCCATTTTTTGCACCTGATGCTACAACTCTATCAATGCACAGAGTTCATCATCGTCCCAACTTGGAGGCAATCTTCAAATGTTACCTATGTCCATATTATGTCAGCACAAAGATGTATGTATTCATATTACAAGTATTGACCCTTTGCACTCGGACTTTTTCTCGGGAAAATCTTGCACAAACTCGGACTTTTTTCTGCTTATTACGCGTATGTAATAAATGATTTTTTTGAAAGCAAAAATTATAAGTGAGATACAAAAGACAATATTTTTTTGTTTTTTATTTCTGGTATGCCTGAAAAGCACAATTCGAATACAACGTCAAACATTGTCTGTGCCTGAGGGAGTATTTCGCGTGCACAGGGTTAAATACAGGGTGGGGCAATAACTATGTCCACCTTGAATATTGTCGTTATTTGTAATAATATGAAAGAATGTTATATATAAAACTTGCACGGTATAGAGGGGGGCATATTGTGATATAAACATTTTTTGCGTGGGTGGAGGTATAGAGGAGATTTCAAGGTCATCTCTATTTTTTTAAATAGAATGCAATATTTTTTTTATCGCGATGTGATGGTCGATCTTGAGACGTCTTCAACAAGCTAGCATTGAAGGTCATACAAGGTCAAATGTGGTAGTAAAATAAACTTTCTTACATTACGGGGGATGTTCGAAGTGATGATCGTTTGCGTCAATGCAAAGTTACAATCTTCGTATCGCTACATCACGTGCATGTCTCATCGTCTCTGAACTTATTCTAGCACATGCTGTATTTCATAGATCCTCACTTTTATATAAACGAATGGTCTTGTAACATTGTTTATGTTGTGGCAATACATCGCGTAGCTAGAAATGTAAACATCTCAGCAGTTCGTAATATTAACATGACATATCGGTAGTCAGTCTCAGTCGATTGCTAAATCAAGTAGCAATGTAATCATCAAAATGAAGTTTTCTTTTAAAGAGCAAGTGGATATGATCCTCATTTATGGAGAAATGCGACAAAATTCGATAAGAGCTCAAGCCTTGTATGCTGAACGATATCCAAATCGTACACATCCTTCGCACCGAACATTTCAAAGATTGTACAAAAAATTGAAAGAAACCGGAAATTTAGGTACACGTAAGAGCAGTCGTCGTAAAAGAGCAACTGATGAGAGAAATGAAGTTGGTGTTCTTGCAATTGTAGCTCATAACCTGCAGAGTAGTTCCCGACAGATTGAACGTGAGTCGGCTATCAGTAGAAGGAGTGTCCTACGAATTCTTGCACGGCATAAATTTCATCCATACCATATTACTCTCCATCAAGACTTACACGGTACAGATTTTATGAATCGTGTCGTATTTTGTCAGTGGGCTCTACATAAAATACAGATGAATGAAACATTTGTTTCTTCAATACTGTTCACTGATGAAGCTACGTTTACTAACCATGGAAATCTCAATTTGTATAATATGCATTACTGGAGTATCGATAATCCACACTGGTTACAAGTTGAGCATCAACAACAATGGTCAGTTAATGTGTGATGTGGAATAGTTGGTGATCAAATAATCGGACCACATTTTATCGATGGAAATCTTACTGGCGAACGATATGAACTTTATGACTTTATTAGAAACTGCGATATGACTTTATTAAAAAATGTACCACTAAACGTTCGCCAAATGATGTGGTTACAGTACGACCGGTGCTAACTTACACTCCGGTTATGCTCGGAGAGTAAGAGATGCACTTAACGAACTTTACCCTAATTGATGGATAGGACGTGGAGGATTAGTTTCTTGTCCAGCTCACTCTTCAGACTTAACTCCGTTAAATTTTTTTCTCTGGGAAGCATTGAAAAACGTTGTTTATCAAGAAGTACCCACTATACCAGAAAATATGAAACAACGGATAATTACAGCATGTGCTAGAATAAGTTCAGAGACGATGAGACATGCACGTGATGCAGCGATACGAAGATCGTAACTTTGCATTGACGCAAACGATCATCACTCCGAACATCCCCCGTAATGTAAGAAAGTTTATTTTACTACCACATTTGACCTTGTATGACCTTCAATGCTAGCTTGTTGAAGTCGTCTCAAGATCGACCATTACATCGCGATAAAAAAAATATAGCATTCTATTTAAAAAAATAGAGATGACCTTGAAATCTCCTCTATACCTCCACCCACGCAAAAAATGTTTATATCACAATATGCCCCCCTCTATACCGTGCAAGTTTTATATATAACATTTTTTCATATTATTACAAATAACGACAATATTCAAGGTGGACATAGTTATTGCCCCACCCTGTATAGTGTGTGATTCATCTGAGAACATGTAAATATCTCGAAAAATATGGATGACACGGAAAAATGTTTGAGACAAAACTTGTAGGGTACCAAGGGGCACATATGATGCCTATATTTAGTTGACCTTGCGATGACCTCGAAAAGCTTTATGAAGGTTACGTTTAAATTTTTAAATGTAAACTTATATTTTTTGTTATATATTCTTGTAGCTAACGTTAAAACATTTTCAAAGTACTACTTACACGTGCATTTTGCACTAGCTAATATTTAGATATTAAATTTCAAATCTGATGTGCCGCCGGTACTAGCGTTACCCGATATACACCGCGAGAACGTCGCTTTACACGTTTTCAGATGAATCACACACACTGTATATAGGGTGTTTCATTTTTATCTCGCCAAACTGTATTAGCATATTTTATGATTTAAAAAAAAAAATATAAACACAGGGTCGTAAATGCTTTATTACAACGTTATAACAAAATTACCAAAATTATAAGTGACTGGTTTCTTGTTTGATCCTGCATATCAACAATCAGTTTTGTATTTACAAGAACGGATGACACCTTGAACAAGAACTTCAATAAACATGACCAATCGATCGAACGAGAATCCAGTCATTTACGATTTTGGTATTTTTGTTGTAACTTTGTAGTAAAACATTTACTACCCTATATTTATATAACATTTTTTTCTTATTTGTAATCATAGTATATGCTGACACTGTTTGGCAGGATAAAAAGGAAACACCCTGTAAAATATTTCTGAAACAAATTTTTACAATTTTTCCATATAGAGAGCTTTTGGATCATGTTAGACTTCACGGAGAAGAGCTTGCTGTTGTACATCAACAAAATATGGATTATAATCTCTCATCTATTAAGGCTAAAACACAGCAAGTTTTAAGTCCTGATGCTAGTAAGTTAGACGGACACCTTGTCGTCCATTATAAATACATTTGTCTTATTTAAAGGTAACTTAATCGACTCATTTATTTTCTAGGCATTAGTCGCTTAAAACAGGAGAAGCCTGTAGAACAGGTGATTCACATAACCACGCAAAACAACGTAACTTGCATCACAAATGTCTCGAAAAATACTGGTGTACCGCCACCTTTGCTACTGGATACCCGAGCACTGCCTGAAGCTCCATTGGTGTGGGTGTCCCGACCAGATGGTACACTTGCGAAAATGTTAAAATGTCGTCATTGCCCGTTCGTGTCTTCACGACGTGCCGAAGTCCGCGATCATGAGACCATGCATCTCGATTCACCCAACTGCGGCCCCGTGATCGCTTGTACGGATTGTAGTTTCACTTGTATGCGGCGAGATGTTATGGTCGCTCACACAGATATGCATTCCGGTTCCTTAGGCACCGTACACTGTTTAGTGGATGATTCGAGGCCAGACTCGCAGCAACTGAACGACCTGGCTACGCTTCTCGGCTTCACACATTCTCCCGTGTTGGGTTCAGAGCCTGATCTACGGGATCTGAGGCTAGTGCATTGCTGTAGTAAATGTCCAGCGCGGTTCCTTTGTGAGAAAGAGCTGAGAATTCATTTGAGATATCATTCTACAGAATTAGCTTACTCTTGCCAATGGTGCTCCTATGCCGCCCGACAGCCAGCTCATCTCCTAGCCCATCAGAAGGCGCACTCAACGGAGTACCAAGAGCGTACAAAGTATTTATTGTCTCTTTACGGCCATTCGCAACGATATCCACCACCTACCACAGCCTGCGTCGAAGCAAACAACCAAGAATCAAATGGATCTACGCCTACTGTGGCATGGATTGTAGTCGAGGTAACCGAGACTTCGAGCAACAGTATGAGCAATGCGAATCAACGAACTGGGAATCAAGTATTCACTTGTGCCAAATGTCCGGCTCGTTACTTTAAGCTAGACGCTCTGGAGTATCACATGACTCTGCACGGCTCGAACAACAGATTCAAGTGCACCGAATGCGACTATTCGTCAAAGACAGCTCAGAACCTGGTGAAGCATCAAGTGGTTCACCGACGTCAGAATGAAACTAGCGAGTTGAACGCTAATTTGACGCCACCTCCGCCTGATCCGCAATTTGGTCTCTTCATGCGTGGCAATCCTAACTTTGTATATCCTGGTTATTTGAGAAATGGTAGATTGAAGGAAAAACGATACAAGTGTCACAAATGTCCCTCAGCCTTCGAAAAACGAGAACAGTATAGAGTTCACTTAACGTTGCACGGTGCGAAACAGAGATACCGCTGTGACACTTGTGATTATTCTGTCAAATATTATGCCAATTATATCCAACATCTGAAGAAACATCAGGCTAATGCGGAGGCACAGGCTTCGCGCAGGCAATTCGAGGACGATACGATTACTATAGATAGTGATACAGTTCCTGATAATATGAATTCTATTTCTCGTTCAGGAAAGACCCTGAAATCGTGCAATAATTCAGCCACAACTATATCTACAAATGGTATATCGATGTTGAATTACGGTGGAGTTCAGGCTTCGAATCAAGACAAGCAGTCTTTGATGTTGTTGCAGAAGAAGGGAATACTTTTGTCGTCTAACGATGAGGTAGAAACATTACGATGCCAAAATTGTCCATTTTCTACGTGTGATAAGGATGCTTTGGACGCCCATAAACGTAGACATGGTATCGAGAGAATGACGCCATCTTGTCCCCATTGTGATTATATACCGCGAAAAGACGAGAACGTCGGTGAACATATTAGATTACATTTTACAAGACTTTATAAACCGGAATCCTATCTTATTATAGAGTTATTAACATTGACAATGAAGAAGATTACTTCGAATAGTAAAGAAGAAAAACAAAAAGCTGCCGAATTACTTTTTAAGGAGTACGCAGATGGACGATTCTTTCCGTTCACTGATACTAATTCTTTTGGTAGCCCCTCCACTGTAAACAGCCACAAGGAGAAAGTCATAGTAGATCCAAATACTGGAGAAACGAAACATTTAGCCGTTTAAGAAAATATAACCCTAAATAAACCACGCAATCATGTACATTTCCGTGTATATAACAAGTATATGACGCATTTTAGATGTTCATAAAACATTTTTTAGATTTTCCTTGAAAATCTTTAACGGGATAATTGAATGAATCATTACGTTATAAATATATAGTAGATTATAGAAAACGAATCTGCATGGAATATGAACAGAATCTAATTCGTAGTATCGTAACTATGTACAAAAACGAATCTTTATCGATTCTCTTAATTGTTGCAACAACTATAAACGAGCATAATCACAATCATAGCCATCAAGCTCGATATTTTTCAGCATCATAAATATATATTGCAATGCCATATTTTGTTCATTTATTATAAACATTTCTTCACACGTACATGATTTAACGTTATATGTTGTATATAAATATTCGAAACGATCTATCTTGTACGATACAACAATAAAGGAGTGCTATATAGATTTACACGTTTACATATTCTATAATGCCTCTTTTGATTTATGTGAACATATTCGAATAAGTTTGTTTTTTGTAATTTATACTCTTAACAATATGGGCTTTTATTAAATACAACGGTACAATTTATTTGTAAACTTTTGCGTTCCGAATAATTTCATTTTCAAAGATTATTTTTTTTAACGTTTTCGTTTACTTATTTTTTTTTAATTTTTGGAGACGTGTTAAAAGATACGGAAATTTCTAAGGTTAATTGACGAAAGGGTAGTAGGTTCGATACGAAACTTTTGAGTAGGCGGAGACAGCTGGCGTAACGTTCAACCGTTGCTGGAACGGAAATTCCGAAGTGAGAGAAAACGGGATCAATAAAATCCTGGAGTTTCGCGCATGACGGAATTTAGTTTACGAATTTCTTAAGGTTATGAGAAGAACCCATGCTAGGGAACCGTCTTGCACCGAATGCATTAGGTAAACAATATAACAGATTTAGTTAAATGCAGAACAATGTTCGAAGGTGCCATAGCGGCGTTCCTGAATCGTCTTCTGGGGAAATATGTCGAAGATTTGGATACGGAACAGTTTAACGTTGGTATCTTTTCCGGTGATACGTGTCTCACCGATCTTAAATTGAAACCTGAAGCTTTGGTAACCGAATTTTTCTTTCATATGAAACATTATTTTCACATATGATTAAATAATTGTATACATAAAGTGAAGTAACACTCTTTTTGTTTATAGTATCAACTTGGTCTGCCTATTAGGGTACAAGTTGGATTGATAGGGAAGATTATTTTAAAAATACCATGGTCTGGATTATTTTCTCAACCAATTATTCTTTGTATGGAGGTAAAGGATTGTCTTTTACTTATAATATTGACAAAATTATTTAATGTCAATAGTTAAAATACTTCATTCCTTTTTTTAAGGACATTTACATAGTGGCTGTACCTGCTACTTATGGCCCTTATGATGCAGAAGTACAAAAAAAGTTGATACGGGCAGAGAAGAGAAAGATATTAGAGGAATTAAAACAAGATGAAGTATCTAAAGCAGGTAATTTGTAAATTTAACAAGTGCTGAAAACAATTTTTTAATGTGTGTAATTGATTTTAGAATTATTTGATAATTTGCTGGCATCTGTGACAAAAAACTTCCAAATTACTATAAATAATGTACATATTAGATATGAAGAGAAACTAAATGGATCTTTATGTGCTTGTGGTATCTGTATTCAAAGTATATCAGTAATGACTACAAATAGGTAAGTATTCTTATATTTACTTCTTCCTTAACAGTATATACTTCTTTTTTTATCAAACTATAATATTTTTAGCAAATGGAAACCTGGTGTTAGTGCAGGCAATTTGAGCACAATTTATCAATTAGTAAGAGCAGAATCTCTGAGCGTATATATGGATCATGATACAGAATCTGCCCTTACAAGTAACAGCTGTGAATGGGATGTATCCAGTTTTTTAGAATGGAAAAATACAATGTACAGAGCCCTGCAGACTTTTGGTATGAGGAATAAGGAGTTTCAATTTTGTAAGTTTAAGTATCACATAATTTGGCATTTAAATGTAATCAAAAAAATTAACAGTATAGTGTTACAGTACTAAAACCATTCACTGCAAAAATAAAAGTAATCATACATAAAGGAAATGAGGCACAAACATCTCGTATGTTGGTTGATATTGTTCTTCATGATGTGGCAATGCAAATTTCTGAAGTGCAATATATTACTTTCTGCTATCTTTGTGATTCATTGTCACGTACAATTATCAACAAGTATGCATTTTACTTATCTTTCTTTTTTTATTTAATTTATTACTGTATTAAAATGTTGTTTCAGATCCTATATAAAATATCGTCCGAACCAAATCATAAAGACAAGTCCATCAGCTTGGTGGAACTATGCTTACAATTCGGTTCTAGATTATAATGTAAGACCCTATACTTGGGCAAGAATTACTGAGCACAGAAAAAATTACAGAAAGTACAAAGAGGCATGCTTGCAAAGCTTGCTTCGACCGAACGATACCGAATTGAAATTAGATTTGCAGAAGTATGAAGATTGTTTGACAATTTTGAACATAGTTGTTGCTAGAGAACATGCCAGACAGGAATTGAAAAATAAAACTACCGAGGAAAAACATCAAAACGATTCGATGCAAAAAATTATGGAAAATCAAACTCAAGGAGTACAAAATAATGGTGCGCAAGGACAACAAACTAGAAAAATACACCAACATAGTATTAATAATGGAAAAGGAAAAAAGATCAAACTGGAAAAGTTACCACAACCAATTGGTACAATTTCAAATACTTATGCAATTACGTAATCTAAATGAATGTGTAAATAACGATTTTTTATACTTTATTTCAGATTATAAATTCAATTTTACTCTGGCAAATTGTTGTTTGAGCCTTTTAAACAATGACAGAGAGGTTCTTGTTCTAACTGTAACTCAATTTTTAACCAGTGTTGAAGTACGACCTGTATTGTCCGCTTTCAAAGTGTCCACTCGAGCTGAAAGTTTCGTGATCGAAGGTCTTTCCGCGGAAGGTGATCTAGTGCCCCTGATTACCGTCGACAATGTCCTTACAGGGAACGTATCGACTAATTTTCTGGCAATTGATTTCGAAAAGAACGGAGAGAATGTAGATCCAACTTTTGATGTGTCTATAAAGTTGGAAGCTGTTGAAGTGACTTATTATCACGTAATAATATTACAAAATGTATTCATATATTTAGCAACATTACTTGCAAAAATAAAAATTATATTTTCTTATATTTTAGCATGCCATGATAGAAATTATTAAATTTTTCAAACTTAATGATTCGAATATTCAAGCGAAAATTCTATGGGCATATACACTATATGAATATATAAAAAGAAATGTTTTTGTTCTGATTGATAATATCGTATCCCAAACACTTCGACTTAGCTTCCAAGTGGAAATCAAAGGGCCGTACATCGTGTTTCCTGAACACGGATCGATACAAAAGTGCGTACAATACACTAATCAATTCTTAAGGCTTATTAGAATTTGGAAGTAACACAAAGGGATTTTAGAGGCGGACACATTCTTGTTGTGGATTGTGGTAATATGAGTTTGTCTAACGAACTTCAGGCTACCAATCTACAACTCGAAGATGCGACACTCATGGAATTGGAAGAATTACTTTACGATAGGATACATGTTGTATTTTCTGGGGCACAAATATTATGTTGTCACTCAGGTTTTTACCTTTTTTTCTTCATATACTCTTTGGATTTTTCATGAATACATTAAATACATTTTTAATCTCACCACAGGAGACGATTGGAGATCAGCACGAAAAAAGAAGGATTCCGAATACCATTTTATATCAAAAATACAAGCAAACACGACTATTTCGTATAGCATAAAACCCGAATATCATCAGTTACCAAGGTACATATTATCTGATAATATAAAACTAGATTCATTACTACTGTATATTTTTTTTTTAGAACCAAAGTGAACGTTTCTATTTCAAGTATAAAGTTCAATTTAACAGAGAATAAGATACGACTGATCGTTCATTTCCTGAATTTATTGATGTTGGTTTATCAACGAAACGTGGACAAATACGAGGGTGGTTTAAAGCGATACATTTTCAAAAATGGATCGAACCAGATTTTTAATTCTATAAAGGAACTTAAAAACGTGCAACGTAGTATATGTCTGTCGTCGGTTGAAAAGATACAAAATAAGTTCATGCATGTTACTAAGGAATTTCTGACGAATCATGTACAAAAACTCGATAGGTAACGAAGTAAGACTAAATACTAATGTACAACATACATTTTGTTTAGGTGCCTTTTATCTGTTATAAATAAACTGCATCTGAAATTCATTTATTTTATGTAAAAGGAGTGTTGTGTCTTCTGAGGTCAGCGAAGAAGATTTAGAGTTACTATCAAAGACCATAAGCTTATCTGGATTCGATGATAACGTGTCTCCTTGTAATCATATTAACTTCCTGTTGAGATTTGCCATTGGAGAGGTATTATACATATTAATTTTTTTGTTCATTCATTAAATAAATTCACAGTGTATCTTATTTATTCCTAATTATACTTTTAAATATTTAGCTATCAGTTCACTTGGGAATTATACATCATGGCAGAGAAGAGCCTTACTTAAATTTAAGATTGCATGCTTTATATCTTGAGACTGCAATAATGGAGTATGGACCAGCCATTCAATTTGGCATAGGATCTATTCTTTTAGTGGATAAAACAAATGCAGGTGTAACCGGGTCATATTTGGAATTGATATCCACAGAAGAACCTCATGAAGTTCTTGTTGTATCATTTCGTAAGGTACTTCGTGAAAGAATCAAGATTTATTCTCGTTTAATCATTCTTTCTATACATGGATCTTTCTAGGTTAAATCTAATTGTCCAGACTTTAAATCCCATTTCAAGAGTATCGAAAGGTCTTTCGTTATAAATATATTAAACATTAATATAAATCTTCATAGACCAGCATTATTGAAGATACAAGAATATTGGTACAGTTTAGTTAAGTAAGTAGTACTAGTATTATTATTTAATTAAAAAATATATGAGCAATAATAAGCAATCTTTTCAGCATTTTCGAAGGCAATACTCTTTTCAACTTCATTGGCAATACATGTTACAGTATTATGCAGTGGAAATCGAAAGAAAATGATCCACCTATACCTCCTGGTACAGTATAATAAAAATATTATGCATGTGGCAGATACTTTGAGAATAAGCTCAAACAAAACTCTGTGTGTGTGTGTGTGTGTGTGTGTGTATGGATGGATGGATGGATGGATATTGAGAAATTAAATTTTCTTATATTCTTTTAAAGTTTTTAAATGCAATTTACAGTAATTAATTATTGCAGTTTTTCTAATGATAACATGTTAAATACATGAAGGCAATTACCGTCAATAAAATTTTGCTTGCTTGGTTGCTGTTTTAATATTTATTAAAACTGTTTTAGGTTGGGTGATTGTAGTTGCTCTTAGTAACATAGGGTTAATGTGATTTTTATGTACTTTGTTCTTTCTAGGTGCCATTAAGCTGAATTATTCTGCTCGTCTCAGCGCCCTTGTCATAAGATTTTGTGACAAAGACTTGGATCTGATGGAAATACAAGTTCTAGGCCTGGAGAATGATTGCATTTACAATGCTAATGAAAGAATGGTATTACGAGCACATCTCAGACATTTATTGGTCGAAGATTTAAACGAAGATACTCTATACTCAAAGGTAAGTTTTTAACTATCACAAATGTATTATTAATTATAGTTACACGCTTTCGTTACAAGCTGTTAACCACGGAAGACGATAAGGTTCTTGACTTGAAATATGTAAGACACATGCCAAGATTATACACGTGCTCAGACATTGATACTAAGCAGGACGACGTGATGTCAGATGGAACATTTAAGCTATTCATAGGGAGGATTAGTTGTGTGCTTATTTGTAAAATATTGTATAATTTAAAGGTACAAATTTAACGTTCATTTACCATTACTACTTTATGAACAATATTAAAATTTTCACTTATTTCCACAGTATTTTTTAACACCGTTCCCCTCTACGTATTGTTCGCGTTTTAAAAATTATTTGATCAACAAACTCATGAATGGTGTCCAGGAATATAAAAAGAGTGCGACGAAGTTGCACATCTTTGTTGACATTCAAGGCCCTATATTTCTCCTTCCTCAACGAAAAGATGTACCCAGTCTTTTGGTATTGAACACAGGCGTGTTATCAGTTGAAAATTTCTTCAAAAAAGTCATCGATCAATCTATTCAAAATGTTAAAATGCCCGGTAGTGATACTAACCAGTTGATAATCGATAACATTCTGGTAAAATTGAACAACATGACCGTATCCAGAGCAATTATGACACTTAGTCGTGATTTGGAAATTCAAGTAAGAATTAGTATTTAAAAGAAATGTATTTGAGTATATTTAAAATTTAATTTCTAATTTTTAGGAACCAATCATCGAACCCATACATATTCATTTCGATATCAAAAGAAAGACAGAGTATCGCAGTGCGATGGAATTCCAAACGTACGGCTTGTTCAATATACAAGGTTCCATGGATTATGTGAACATCAATTTGAGTCAAAGAGATTTGAAGTCTAGTATACTAGTGTGGAAGGATAATATCTCAAAGATTATATTATTCAAAGACATATGCAGTAACGAAGCAGACTCAGCAATGGAGGATCAGTTGAAGAAAGTCAGTCAGGAAGACGTTATGGTGAAAAAGTTGGAAGATTTCCTTATGCACAATGAAAATTCTGTTTGTGAAATTAATACAAAGTTGAGTCTAGAGGGATTGCAGTTAAATTTGTTCTTAGATTCAGAAGAGGTACTTCACCAATTTAATTCTCTTTTAATTAAGAAGTTGAATAATTAATTTTCATATTTATTGTGCTTCAGGTTTTAAGCTCACCAGTTCGTGATCTGAATCATGGTCTATGTAAACTAACATTTGGGGAGATAATCAATACGTACGCATTCTACAGCGATAGAAGCATGAAGATGAAATTGTCTCTTCAAAGCTGTGTCCTGCAAGATACTCGAAAGTTTTCTAAAACTATAACAAAGTTTGTATTTTTACTATAAACGATTTATTACAGTTACCTTGATTCTCAATATTAATATTTTCACTTTCATTAAAGAATAATTCAATCTCCAGCGAGACAAATACAGCCCGAATCCTGTATATCTATTTCAATGTCTCCTATCGTTGATATCACGTACACTTGTGCACCAGCTGGAGAGACGTGTTTTGATGCACTTATTCAAGAAGTTAGATTGAACTTGTCTGTGCCATTTGTAATGCACCTCACTCGATATATCATGGATTCCTTTCCAGGAGAGCAGATCGAAGAAGGAATCATTAATCATGGATACGAGAACAACAATTCAGCAACAGTAAGTGATTCCATTCATTTGATCAAAATTATTCCATTTATTAGTTAAGCATGTTATTCTTAAATTGAACACATATGCGTTTTAAATCAAGAGCAGGGATATAACCACTGCGGAAAGAAAGAAATTAAAGTACGCACAATATTTTAAAGAAGAGCCAGGTATTTATGCACATTTACTGTGGTTTAATTGCTTTCATTCGTTATTGAAGAAACATATTCTATTTTAATTGTGTACCAACGTTAACACTTAATTATTTATCAATTACCTGAACATTCATATTTTATGCAATTTAGATGCTTCTGTGTCTGTGAGGATACACAAACCAGAGATCTTACTCTTTGGTGATTTAAAAGCAAACAATGCTCACGTGATTATACTACAAGCTGAGGTATCAATCGAGAGTAGCAGGCACAGCTGTTCATCATCGATAGTTTGCACGCTCACAGATGTGCGTGCAAAATCGAAGAAACAAGGGAATTATTCGCATCATACCCCTTACTGGCTACTCTGTCCATGTGACATAGAAATTTGTCGAAAAGAGGAAGCACCGGAATTTAATATCAATTATACTATAGCTGTGAATAAAATTGATGTTCACTTCTCTGCAGAAATTATACATACATTTATTAATGCAAGTATCAACATCATTTTAATAGTTTGATAAAGCATTTTCAAATGTTAGATAATTAAATACATATATGTACATATGTTTAGATACTAAATGAAGCTACAAGTTTTGTAGATAGTATTAATGTAAAGCTGGAAGACAGATCTATGAATCAAAATCTTAATATGCACATTAATTTGTGGACACCAAAAAAAATTTTGAACGTACCATATAAAAAGTTAGACGATGGTAAGTATTGCTTATAAAAATGAATTCCTTTATAATTGAAATGATTTTTATGGATTATGTTTTACAGATGACTCACATTTAATTGATGAATGTAACGATAGAGTTGTAACTTATAATCTGAAACCATTAGAACTCTGTTTAATGTTGGAAATAGAATATTCAATGGAAAGACTCCCTGTCATAAAAATAGAGAGTTTAATTACAGCCAGCATTAATGATTGGTTCAATAATTTCAATCTTGAGTCAAACATAAAGCTTCATGCATTCTGTTATAATGCAGATTGCAAAAATTGGGAGCCTCTAATCGATCTGTGTTCGGAAGATGACACAACTTACAGACCATGGGAATTAATAATAAAAGTAAGTCTCCTGATATTGATTACAATAAATTTTGATATCTCATTCTTTTAATTATGTATACACAGATGCGTCATGGTGAAGCTTTCATGGTGAACTCAAATTGGACTAATTCGTATCAGCACATAAAACCAGATGTATTAAAAGCCAAGAAGAAAAGTCTCAGAAGCTTTGATCAAGATATTACGGATATGGTTTTCATTACTCCTGATCATCTGACTGTGTCAAAATTAAATGGTACTTTCAATCTGATTTATTACTTTGAAAATGAATAATATAGATGAAGTGAATGAACGTTATTATTTTAGAGACAGAATTATATTCAACGTATGAAGAAGACTCCGACACAGACGACGAAGAGGGACAGAAAAAATTGGCAAGAACTTCCAACTATTTATTTAATAGTAACAGTAGCGGAGACGAAGACAGTGATAGTGACGACTCGAGCACAAATGAAGATGAAGGGTTAGAATTGACACCTGAATGCAACATAGACTCTTGTAAGGATTTATTACAATATCTTCTAATTGAAATTACTTCTTATTCTACTTTTACAATAAATTTCTGATCACAGTTGGACCACTAGGTCGTGAATCCATAAAATCAAACGATATAGCGGTTTACATCATCGTATCCGCAGAAGATAAACTCAATATTGTTATTACACCAAACCTAATCACTATAGTAGATCTAATCATGAACGCGTTTCAACAAGTTACCAATGGAATACCAATAGTACCAACCAACATGAAAAAATTGAATCTTCAGAATGATATTGGTCATGAGAGTCGAATAGAACTTCTTAGTTCAGATGTTAGTATACTACCAATAAATACACTACTTCATAAAGAATTTATTTTTATGTCTCTTTTATTCATTACCAGGAGAATAACAAGAATATTACACGTGTAATAGCAAGTCAGGACTACCATGACATTAGTCCACCAGTAAGCGTTCCTAGCAGTCCAGAATTGGAAACCCATTTGGATCTGGCCAGCTCACAAGTGATTGATAATGAAATGGACTTTGTGGACCCTGATACAAATTTACAGAATCATTCAATGCCAATGGAGGAAATATTTGAAGAAGACTCTTCAATCAGTATATATAGGACAATCACAGGCGAAGTGTTGCATGTGGTTTTTAAAGGTACTCTTATATGCAAACATACAGGATGTCTAATTTTAATCAATAAATGCGAATTACTTGTAAACTATCCACTGTATGAATAATGGAAAGCAATTGAATGGTTTCAAGGGAAACAATCTAGTGTAATTAATTTTTCTTCATATAATTTTTAATGCATTAATTGATGCAACTCTTTATTTCCTATAAAAAAGTAGTAAGGTATTTATGTCAAAAAACCGTTAGTTTAGGAGATACTTTAGTTTCAATATTGCAAAGTGGTTGTGGATATGGTACTAGTACACATATCTGTACCTACATTTTTTGAATTAACAGTGGGCATTGTTTTTTATAAAATGATAGAGGAGGGCAATGAGACAAAATTAATCAATAATTTTTGTAAAAATTATGTTCCCCTCGAAAACCATTCAATTGATCTCAGAACTATTTTTCATACAGCGGGTAATTTGCATTTATAGATTAAAATTGGATACCCTGTATATATCATCAAAGAAGTATTTTTATTTTTTTATTATATCTATAGGATTCGAAGATGTATTAGTGTATTGTCCTAAGAGACAAGGGTGTAATCTGATTCCACTACGACCTATCAGGCATGATGTTCGTTATCATTTAATCATAGAAGCTACTATCAACAATTACTTACACCGTACAATTACAGTACGTTCACCTTTACAGGTAAGGTGTTTAATTTACAATTTCTTTTTATTCTAATTGTATTTTTCACGAATTTGTATTTCAGTTTCGAAATGAAACTTCATACGCATTGGGCCTTTATTATAAGAAATCATTATTAGACAAACTGGAATTCACGTGCATCGGGGAACCTACAAATCCTTTTGATGACAACATCAGAATGACAATTATCGAGCCTGATTCTACTTATAGTGTTCCTTTATACATAGCTTATCACTTCCCTATATATATATTGCCTGCGTATTTAGAGTAAGTAGAAAAAAATAATATAATTAACTTGATTACAAGAGGAAATTCTGTTACAGAAAATACCAAGTTAGTGAAGAAGGAATTTATTGGAAAGAAATGAGCATAACAATGAACGTGATCAAGGACATCTGTTGCAAAATGAAAGAAGATGAGAATTATTCTGTATTCTGTGTCAAAGTCTCTTGTAATGAAATTCCAGTGACTACAAGATCAAGTTGCCAAGTTCCAAATTATATGATAAGCATTCATTCCCCTCTTATTTTCAACAATCAGCTACCATTCGTCATAGACGTTCATATACCTGCTATTAATTACGATGTGAAAATTGAGCCTGGGGAAAGAATAAACATGCATTCCTTAAACTGTAACAACGACATCCAGTTTGTCTTTAAGGTACGCACATATCGATATATCGAAGTATAGATATATCGAAGTTGTTTAAAATCCTTTTTCAGATTCAAAGTTATCTGGGTGCATATTGGTCTGGTACTGCAAAACTGAACACAAATTTGGAAAGGAAATTTGTCGTGATGAATGCAGACAGTGAATCAGACTCGACAAAACCATTTTTGCTATGCATAGAATTGTGTAAAATGACAAGTTGGCACATTATTATTCAGTCTCAATATTGGATGATAAATAAATCTGGATTACCTTTGTTTATTCAGGTGATTATATTACTTGAAGAATACAGTTTTTAATATACACATACTTCTAACTTAATAATATCCTCAGGAATGTCATTCTCATGTAATTAATGAAATACCAGAAGAAGAATTAATGGTATACTCTCAGAAGAATAACAAAAAAAGCTCGGTTAGACTAAGAGCACATCAGTCTGAATGGTCTTTACTATTTGGGTTGGAAGGAATCACTTCCATGTCTTCGATCGTATGCAAGGACATAGAACGAGGAAGAAAGTACAGAATTTTAACGGAGATCGAAAGTTCTCGTCTCTCGCCTAACTTCACGAAGATCATAACATTTCACCCCTATTTCTATGTTGGTAACAAAACGAAGAAAAGTCTGAGATTCATGGAAGAAAATGATCAAGCTGATCTGTGGAATGATCTTCTTCCTGGACAGAGCATGCCGTTTTGGCCAGTCACAGAATCGATGAAGATGAGAATAAAGTGGAGGAATAGTCAATTGGTATCTCAACATTTTAGTATTACACACGCGGGGAAGACGGTACTGAGAATGGATAATGGCGTAAGTGATTTCATAGTTTTGAAGAAAAAATTTATTTCGATATAACCGTATAATATTATTATGATTTACAGTCAGCCATAACTGTGGAAATCAAGGGTGGTACTAATTCCCCATATTACGTTACATTTCAAAAATATACAGCAGGTGATATACCTGTTAGGATAGATAATTTTTGCGATGATTTATTTTTAAAAATCAGTCAATGCAATTTAGGCCAAGTGGCCCTAATAAATCCATTCCAAAGTCTCTTATACACGTGGGATGATCCCACAAAATCTAGAGAACTCGTTTGGAATGTATATAATAATAAAAAAATCGGGTACAATGCGAGATTTGAAAAGGTAAAAGATATAGTTTGTAAAATAGTAAAAAGAAATATAAAGTATATTAATTTTTATTCATTTAAGGATGGATATGGTCAAGAGATTGTACCACTCATGATCGTCGAAAAATGCAATGGCGGATTATTGACTAATTCTTCAATTAAATCTCAGAACAGTAAATCAACGTGGTTGGAAAACAAATCTGGTAGTACCAGTAGCGAGAATAATTATGACGACGACGTGAAGTCGTCCATGTTGAAAAATGCACAGATAGACAAAACGATTGTTTATTGGGTGAGTTACATGGAGGGTAATCAACGGATCCTGCTGTTCACTCAACAAGAAATGGTGTTTTTGAAAGCAAAGAGCATTATTGATCCTGAACCCAGTAAAAGGGAAATATTCCTTTCTTTCGCTGGTATTGGAGTCAGTATTGTGAGTACATCATAGTATTGCAATATGTTAAAGTGAAGAGACACAAATAGTTTTGTAATTTATTTAATACGTGATCATAGGTAACAAAATCAAGTGAAATTCTAAAGGAGCTGGTGTATGCTAACATAACAGATTCTGCAGCACACTGGGAACTTTATTTTGACAAAAAGTGGAAAAGTTTATCGTTAGAGTTGAGTGCTTGGATAGAGAGCAAATATGTAAATTCTTGTAAAAAAGCACAGTTAGAAAATTTTATTGAAGTACGTTCATTCTTTTTTTAATATTTATTATTTAGTATATTAAATACATAAAAAGTGATTTTCAGGTTGATCTTGTAAAAATGCACATGACCAAACCATTTTTTGGAAAATTAAAAAGAACTTATTCCCCGGGAATTTGGTTGCATTGCAGGAAGTCTTTGTCATTGACTTATTTGCAAGGTTACATCCATAGAATACAGGTATAATTATGAAATTCATTTTGTTTAATTGCATTATTAAGTATTAATTTATCATTTCAGGTGGATAATCAAATTTGTAACACTACGTTCCCTGTAATTTTGTACTCGAACTTGCAAAAGAGTATCATTAATTACGCAGGAAATCGTAAATTAAAACACTGTGTAGAATTTACATGTTTAAAACAAAGAAAGTTACATTACGATATTTACAAGTACGTAATAATTACTTTAATGTATATTGTTATCTAAAAGTCCTAATGATGCATATTTTACAGGGGTATTTGTGTCATAGTTAGGGAATTTGACTTGAACTTACAAGAAGGCTTCCTCCTCTCTTTAATCGATTTAATCCCAAAGAAACCAGAAACTAAATATTCCATTGCAGCAAAATTAAGAAAAGATGTTTCCAGTATCCATATTTTACCTTCTAGCAAAACTAATAACGTATGTACATCTTTCACTCTATTATTTATTATATGTTAACATGTTATAATTCGTCATAATGCATAAATTACAGAATACAACTATTAAAAGGAAGAATGTAATAGAGAATATGTATATTTCTCCAATCCTAATACGCTTAATATTATTGGCTGATACAGAAAGACCTAATATTTATAATATTAGTGATATATCAGATTACAAGAATATTATTCGATTTATTTTTGAATATTCTGAAAAGGGAGCATCTGAAAAGCACGCTGAGTTTAGGTATGAAAATACTTAACACCTATTAATAATTAATATATCCACTTTTTACTAATTTATATATGTTTTTTTTAGACTTCCTTGCTATCAAAGAAATTTTATTACGATTGACAATGACGAGTTTCTATTGGATCTATCACGATCTTATGTGACCCAAACCATGCAACAATTTCACGTTTTAATTCGTTCAACCACAGTTTTAGGAAATCAATGTGGCTATAACTTTAAATCTCCAGGAGAGAATTTCTATGAATCTAATACAGTGAGTGTGAATCGAATGATATTTATTGATGATTTCTTCAACTGAAGAATTACTATTATCTTTACAGTTGATTCTGTATGGAGACGAAATAGCAGAAAAACTAAGCTACGAGGTAGCGTGTCAACTGGGGTACGCTACTCTAGATTCTACACAGACATCAGCTTGTAATTTTGACACTGAACCTCGTACAGTACAACATAAGGTATATGAGACAAACAAATAAATGTTTTAATCAATTGACAAATAAAATTTTTCTTCTAGACGAGGGAACCGTGTTTTCAAAATAAGGATGTGCCTCCCTTGAACCTTTCAATTCATACCTCCTTTTCTACAGAGATTGAACTAGAAACGTGTAGCTTAGTAACTGCGTTTATAAGTAGTGAGTACAAAGTGTATTTCATTTGAAATAGAAGAACTTTAACTGTACGTTAAAATTCGTAGGTATTCAGCAAGAAGAGTTGAAATATTTCTTCAAAACCTTGGGAAAGAAAACGTCAATATTTTTTAACACAGAAAGTTCCTCTCTAAAAGCTTATTCAAAAGTAATAGCAGATATTATAAAAAGGTACTTTTTATAAAAGATATAAGGTTTCACGATTGAATGCATTTACATTCAAATTGTGCGTTTCAGGGCACAGGAAATAGGTCATAAGTTCATATCTCGGATACGCTTACCACGCTATGTCAATCCGTATAAGGTAAAACGCAATATCTTCAAAAAATTTTCTATGAATGAAAATATTACAATTACAAAATGTTTTTACTAGGGAGTTGAAATATTTTCTATGCATAAGGCAAAAGGGATGCATCTTCTAAATATGATAAATAAGAACCCTGGTATTGAAACAGACACGTATTGGGCCCATAGTACCCTCTCAAATGATGGAAAACATATAGCTCTTGTTTCACTGCAGTGAGTGTAAAAGAAAAATAATTTTTATACTCTTAAAGTATGGAATTTTTATATATTTTTTCATAGGCGATTGTATTTCATCGAGAAAGGTTGTACATGGGGATCTTTAAATGTAAAATGGACTTTGGAAACACATCAGTTACTTTTACCTCCAACAGTAGTTAACAATAAACTAATCCTACATGTGAACAAGGTACTAATTTTAATACATGTAAATCGACAGTTTCTTCCTATTTAAAAACGATAAAACATTGAATTTATCTTACCTGTAGAATGAAGACACTCTGTCACCCATGGTGGATTGGTATTTAGAGAGCGAAGCAACAGACATTCTGGAGTGGCTGTGCCAGAAAATAAATATAGCGCTGATCTTGAACATGGAGAACAGTATATGTTCAAAGCAAGTTGTATAACTGGAATCCAAACTATAAAAAAAAAAGATAATTGTATATTTAAAATAGTCAGGCACAATAAATTCTCTGACAAACGCAATACTTCCTTGTGTTTATATTGAAAACCTATATCTAAAAGCAACATTATATCATTTCACCTACAAGTTACAATGTTTTATTTTTCTTATTCTTAACTTTCGTATAGTTTAGAAATTCTCTATGCCAGCATCGCGAGTTTAAAATATTCATATACATATTTGTTTTTTTTTTAATACTCTTATTATAGTTTCCATAATGATCACGATATCATTTTATGTATCAGAGAGTTCAGACGTTATCTACATATTATATAGTCATTTGGATAAAGTACGTCTAGTTTATTTCATAATTTATTTACAAAAAGTCTTAGTAAATTACACTTACAGGCATCTCCACTCGAACTAAAGTAAATAATTTAAGAACTACACGTATTTAGATATCTATAGAGTAGGATACTTTGGGGTCAGGGAGAAGCTGGGATTAGGGAAAGTGTTCTGCTTTTAACTTATTTACCTCATCTTATTTTCTTTTTTTTTCTTCATCCTCTTCGCCTACTTATCCCTCAAAACAAAGTCAGGTCTGATCGTTTCCATCATATTTTTCATCGTTTTGTTTTTTTCTTTATCACCCTTTATATGAGAACCAAAACACCGTGCTTTTCGTTTCACGAAATCCATTTTTCTACGAAATGAGAAAAAGGAAGTACCGGCATGGAAGGTGTGCAATGACGAAGTCGAGAATTAGTAAAATTGTCGTTCGTTTTCAGAAGGACATTAAAAATTAGAGCGATTTTGTTCTCGTTTTTCTTTCTTTCCGTTACATTAGATAAATGTATATGTAAGAACCGTCGAAATATGTGCAAAAAGCTGACAATGGGGGGAATAGTACTTGTTAGTTGTTTCTTTTCCTCGTTTACGATAACATATGCGCCTTGAAAAGCATAAGTTTCCTTGATTATAAATACATTCTGTCGGAATCATTTAATGGTACGATCGAGAGCTCAGATTAGAAAATTCCATGGTTTTTACCCTCCTCTACATATTTTCTTTCGGTATATTATTGAAAAACATACTTTCTCTCTCCACGACATTTTTTCTCTGCCTTTCTCTACCCCTCTTCCATTTCGTGTATTTCCTTTCCTTTTGCTCCTAGTCGTTATTATGACTAGAATTGATATTCTCGAAACCTTTGTCTTATTACGTTGTACATGTTCAAATATGATCACAAACGACGTTCAATCATATTCGTAAATATGTTTATTCCGAAAATAAAGACACAACTGCGTAGATAATCTCCTTTACCCAGAAGTATCATCACAAAGAAAAAATAGAACCAATTAGAAATAAAAAAAAAAAATAATAAATAAAACAAAGTTCACCAAAAAAGAAAAAAAATATTCGCGAAAATTTCTCTCGGATAATTTACGTTCAAGCGTGATCACACTTGTCGTAAGTATGTACACGCGTGTTAAGCTTTTTCCCACTTGACCTATCGTTTACTATTTTGCTCTCGATCTATCTTTCTCTCTCTTTCTCTCTTTGTAAGCTCATAACATTTTGTGTGTGTGTATGTTTGTGTGTGTGTGTATGTGCGCGCGTGCGCAACAGCATTTTGTTTATTTCACAGACACTATTCCCCACCCCTTTTTCTACCAGTACCCCATCCTTCGTGCATACAACTGAGGCATACGTTTTCGTTCTTACCCACAATTATACAACACTCAAAACTTTCGACGCACACGGTTGATCGGAAAAGCGCTCATGTTTAAAAACTCGCGCGCAATCCGCATTTTTTCCGTTCTTCTGTTTAACACACGACATTCTCACACGCGTTTAAGAGACGAAAACTCTGTTTTAAGTTTTTGTTCCTTCACCTGTATTTCTGTTAACCTCATTACTCGTTCTTTTGTGTTTGTGTTTCGATTTCGCCTTTTTATCATTCACTGTTATTATTCATTTGTAAACACATGCATACTTTCATTTATTCACCATTCAACCTCTTTCTTTCTTCCTTTCATTCACACTCGCTCCCTCTGTCATTCGCTTTCTGTGTCGGCAAAAAGATTACGCTATTTTTTCAATCGGTCACTTCAATTTCTTTTTGTTTTGCTCTTCCAGCATTCTCGCCTTCGTTCGTTCTTTCAAATGCATTAACTCTCATTACGTTCTCTCTCTCTCTCTCTCTCTCTCTCTCTCTCTCTCTCTCGCTCTCTCTTCTAGCAATGTCTTTCTTCAGTTCTAGTTCTGCCTGTGCTTCTAAAGTCGAGACTCTCGGTGGCCTACTTTTCTCTTATTTTTTTTTTTTGTTTGTTTGCAAGGGAGACCACCGTGGGCGTTCGCGCCGCGTTGCATCATCTTTCATGGTTTGCTATTTTGTTTGTTTCTTCTTTTGTTAACTCGTCACACACGGCGCGGCGCAGTTCGAATAAGATTCAATGGAAGTGTGTGTTATCTACAAAATATCTTAATTACTCGCTAATTACAGCACAAAACATGCAAATATAAAAATTTGCATTATATTATCGTTAATATTTATATATATAATCGTCACCCGATATTATCGTTCCACATCGCACCATTTTTAGGTTCGTCAAACAGATTTCTTTTTTAATAATTTTCTTTTGCTTCATATCTCGTCATATCTCGTTTCATTTTCATTTGTTTCCTTTTTTCTCTATATATTATTATGCTGCTAAACGTTTGTCTCATTTCTCTCATCATTTTTTCAACATCTTTGTTTTCATTTTTTTAATCCCTCCCCGTCTCCCACTATCAATACACCCCGTCTATATCTCCACAAAATTCCCCCCGTTTTCTTTGCTTCGTCTACTCACTGTTTCAAAGTTTAGTCCATTTTTAACTGTTCTTTCCCCGCTTTTTTATCCTCATTAACTATATGAAATATCTTACACTATCGATATTATTCCAATTCACGAAGTAGGAAAGGTATACTCGACGCGTCCTAAGCGCGTCGGCGTCGTAGTATACCTTAACTCGCTAACACCGATAATTAACTTTTTTACTTCTCTGATTTTTTTTTTGTTTGTTTGTTACACGATATAAAACTACAACCACGCTGCCATGGCGTTACAATTATATCGACACTTTGTTCCTTTCTCTAACAAAATTCACGCTAAACATATCCCACGTTTTCCTAACCTCTTTTTTTCTTATCGCTGTTCGCTCTCGCTCTCTCTCTCTCTCTCTCTCAGTATATAATCTCTTTCACTCACGCCCTTTTTAACTACCTTTCTAAAATTTCTCTCTCTCACAAATGCAGCAGCAGCAGCAACAGCGGCAGCGGCAGCAGAAGCAGCATATTAGCAGCTTCTTTCTACTAGAGCTGTCCCTCACTCTCCCTCTCTGTATATGCATATATGTATGTCTCTCATTGGAAAAAAATCATCGTTATCATCATCATTCTTTCCTGCACAATTGGGTCAAAACAAACTAACACCCGCGGATCAGAGAAAAAGAACAAAAAGGAATATACCGTCCGTCCGTATCGATAAGAAACAAAGTTACGTGCCCCTGGAACACTGGAACAAAACACGAGCAACGATCGCGGCCACCTGCTGATCCAGAATCTGGCTCATCACCAGGTTCAATAACCGTGATTCGTGCTGTAACAGTAGAGTTCTGTTGTCCGGATGCCTAGCCAGGTTCAACAGCGTGCCGGCCGCGCGTCGCAGCATGTCCAGGCTGGTACCCATCGATTCTGGATTATCGCGAAGTGCGGCCAAACCGTGTTGATTTGCTACTCCCAGCGCACTCGATTCCGCTTGTTCGATAAACGCGACCAGTAGCGCCACGCATGGTGTTTGCAGAGCAATCGTACGGGCTACACCGCTATCCGCCGCGGACAAGAAGTGAAGAAGATTCACGCCGAACTCGCGCAACACCTGCTCTTCGCTTCGACAGAGTAGCCTGGTGAGTACCGAGCAGAGTCTCTGGAGCCTCGAGTACGGAGGCGTGGCGACCACCAAGTCCACGTTGCATTCCGTCACGCAAAGCTTGCATAAAGCCTCCAGTGCCAGTCGTTGAGGTGACAGGGTCGAATTTGGACCAACAGTTGGGAAAGGATCTTGTCCATGAGCAGCTGGACACACCGCCCAGTGTAGAAGACCGTCCAATACAGGCCGGGATATCTCTTCAGGATGTTGACTTAGATCCATGTGTCCTGCTATATTAGCTGCCATCACAAGCACGTTTTCTCTGATGTGATGTAAGAAATCCCACCACCATTCGCTCTCCCCCTGCAAGCTGCTGCAAGAGTCAGCGAAATCCGCGTCCTCCTCGCGATCGTAGTTGCGCGTTTTCTGCGTCCTCACAGGATGTTCGTGATGCAGCAACAAAAGTTTACCTAGAAGGCTCAAGAACGTGACGTTCTTGGCGAATTCAGCCTCGTTGCCTGGGATAAATGTGAGATTCCTTAGTATCGTTGATAAGCACACGCAACGTCGAGCGAGGTTGTCTTGAGTCTCGGTGACCAGGTACAGACTGGCCTCGTCCCTCGAGTAACTCTCATCCTCGTAGTCGCTTATCCGCCTTCTCTTCAATGTACCCGCAGGATCTCTTATTTTTAATCTTGGTCCCTCCTTATTATCATCTTTCGTTAAAGATTCTTGTTCGTCATTTTCCACCTTGATCTCAGTTTTTTCCATATCGACGTTACCACTCGTCGACGTGTCATTCAGTCCGTTCTGCGTGGGCAACATCTCAGCGGGCTTCTGCACATCCGCAAAGTGCTCGCCCATGTTATTATTTACCTTCGCCTCACTGTCACACTCCTTCTTAAACCCATCATTCTTCTTCTCGAATAATTCCCTCGTCAGATCGTTCATCTCCACTGGTTCCTTCTTGATCCTCGACAGAACATCGCTCAGTGTCTTCGTCTTTTTCTTTTTATCCAGAGTCTGCTTCTTCTCATTCGTCTCTTTCGACTTCTCGCCAGGCTCGGTGGTTTTATGAGAGAAGTCTGATGTCTCGAG